TTTTTAACATATGGCAACTATTTATCTGGAAAATTTCTCTTATTGCTTTCAAAAGCTGCAGCAAGAACAGTATCTAAGAACTGAGCAGTACAATAATACGTTTGGTGATAAGTTACAGCATTTACTAAGTTTCAACAGATAAGCCAGATAATGTGCAGTTTCTTATGAACCCACAGCTGCTGGAGTAAGTTGCACCCACCAGTAGCTAGAAAATAGAAAGAATGAGTTAGCGAATACTGTGAATTTTATTTATAGTAGGCATAATCTATGAATGAAAACATACTCAACCAAAAAAACCCCTTCCATTTTAACTTCACTCCTTTGAATAGCACCATCTGATGCTAGCCCTTACAAGATGTATTCAGTTACGTAGAGAAGTTGGATTTCATCTTTCTATTATACATGCACTGTGGGCCAAGTTTTGCACTCCTCTTCAGCTTGCCCCCTCTGTATGAGTTGTACACAAAAAAAAAAAAAAAAAAAAAGCTGTATTGAACAAAATAAGATATGCTGAAAAGTTCCTGCCCTGCAATGCTGGTCGTCTAGACAGATGACGGAAGAGATTTGCACAAAAGCAGATGCAAGGACATTAATTAGGAGTATGCTGAACAGATGTAGCTGCACGTTTCTGTAGCATGCTACCCTTACCAGGTCTGACTCCAGAGTGCAAGTGGGAAGAAAGTCTTGTTCACAGTCAAGGAAAAGATACAGAAGTAGGCCATAATGTGTATGGGGAAAGTTTTTAACATAGGTTTTAGGCATGACTTGTTATTTAAAAGCTTGTCAGAACGGACTACTTGCCTAATTTTCAGATTTTTTTAAATAAAGAGAAAAATGGGACACTGAATAAGGACTTTTAGGTATGAGGGGCCACATAGAAAACCTAAACAGGACTGTAAACAGCTGAGGGCAAGTGGAGGGGCATGAAAAGGGGTGAGTTTTTTTCGTTGGTTGGGTGTTTTTTTTTGTTTTTGTTTTTTGAGACCAGCACTGAACCTTTGCACAACCCCAAAGCTGCCCCTGGTTGTACATTCTGGCCCCACGAATTTGTGTTCCTTTCTGTACAGCGATCTGGCTTCAACACTAAACTGCCAAATAATAAGGCAACCATGTTTGCAACCGCCACCCCCTTCAGGGGCCAGGTTTTAAGAGAAAGCAGCAATCTTACTTCCAGTCCCTTCTAAGAAAACTTCTTGGTGGAAGAACAGATCTCTAGGATGTTTCCTTCTCAAAATTTTGGCTGTTTTCACTCTTCTTTCCATGCATCTAATTTTCTGAGGTCTGTATAAAGAACTTAAGTACTTTACTGGATCTGTATTTCAAAAAGCCTCTAAAAAAAGTAAATCAGTGCTGGCAACAAACACATAAAGCGTATCTCCAAGAGCAGAGATTCAGAAAGGAACACAATGGTTCATGGTGCGCTCCAGTTCCACTCAGTCTCAAGGGCACTCTATGCTACCACAAGTAGCTTCCTAAAGAAGTTACACTGTTTCACAATCATAACCTTACACTGTACCAAAATCAGAAACTAAGTGTCAAGTCTGCAAATCTGGAAGTAGAGCTGTGGGTTTCTATTTCCTGTTTCCCTGGATATTTTTTTTTTAATTTCTTTGCTGCGTAATTTGAAAACTGAGCCAGTGTTTTAACACCCAAAGGCCTGAGCTGCTCCATCATCTTGATGTAAGTTTATAGTGGGATATACGAAGAAAGGCAGTGCTAGATGAGCGCTTCTCCAACTGCTCTCCAAAATCATATTAAGTAATGCTTATAAGAGAGCTATAACAGCAGGCAATGTTCATCAGGAAATTTTAAGACTGATCCATTGAGCTTAACAGCTTGGGGATCACCGCTGCGTATGAAAGAAAGCAGTAAGTTGCCTGATATGTTCTTTTTACCATTCAGGGTAGAAATGGGGGAAAAAAAGTCCCTCAATGTCAGTTATTAAAAACAAGAGCTCTCTTAGTTGTATTGCAGAAACCTAATTTAAGTTTTGTACCCATTAATACACCTGAAGTTTTGGGGGAAAAAAATTACCAAAATTTCATATTTTACCAAGAATAACTATATAGAGTATATTAAGGTTTGCAAATTATGAATATATTTTTTATGCAGAAATACACCGAAGTAACATCAAGACATTTTTTTTTTTCCACTTCTTAATATACAGTTGACAAGAGGATGACAACTAAATCCAATTGTTTTGTACAAAATCAAGCAGGGATAACTATACTGCAGTTGGAAGCACGGGGTCAGAGGATCGTTCACAACTGGTTACACCGTTTTTGCAGATATGTATCAGAGATTCACAAAAGGAGCTATTGTGCAATTATTTTGCTTCATATATTTAAGAAATGCCCTGGATTATTCTCAGGCATTATTTTTCTGGAGATGATAGTAAAATTCTGAAGTTTACCTTCTTGATATGGGAATTTTGCTGAAGAAAATTTTATATAAGGCACTACTCAGCCTAATGCTTCTTGTCATTAGTCAAATGTATTTTATAGACATTTTAGACTGTAAGATACAAGGCAACACTGCCAGCCTGGTTTCTCAAAAATCATGACTCAAACAACACCCAATATGATACTAGTTTCCTTTAACAGCTGCTGATTTTAATGTGTTACAATTCTTTTAACTTTGCCTTTTGGCCTCTAATCCTTTAATTTCAGATGCTATCAACTATTACGTCATATAACAAAGTATGGGGAAATCCCATACACATACATAGAAAATACAAACCCAGCAATCCGATCAGACAGTAATCACAATCAATGTGATGGCGAGCAAGTTTAATGCATCCTCCAAAAATTTTGCTCCCTTTCTTAAAAGCTTTTTTTTTAATTTCCTCTACCCTCTTCTGTTGTGAAATGAATGTTATTTTTAGTATAAATGGTAATTACCAATAGCAAGGATAATTACAAATACCAATGCATTTCTGTGCCAAGTTTTGACAGTCAATACAAGAATAAAATACAGGAAGGGAACAAGCTATGAAGAGATCCTCACTTTCCTTGAAAAGCCAAACAGCCCCCAAAAGTTAAGATTTCCTTTGGAATCAAAGCACAGATTTTGTCTTCATATTGACGTGAACCTTGCCTTATTGTAAGCTGCTGGCATGGTAGTCAAGTCTTTAAAAGACATATTAAATACAAAGAATGACGGTAACTTCTTTGGTAATAAATTACAGAAATGGTAGTGATGCAGCGTTCCTGGGCAAAGTGAAAAAGGGTGAAAAAGCATTCATCTGCCTCTAAGACAATGGTGCTTCAAAGTAACAGAAAGCAAAATTCAAATGTACATCTGATCTGACATCACAGATTTCCTTTAAAAGGGAAGCGTTCGTAGTATTTCGTGTTACATATAATACATGGATCCATTTTTAATGGGTTGTCTTTAGAACAACACAACACCCAGTAAAGTGCAAGCTTTTCTAAGCTATTAGTCGCCCTAGGAGTCTCTCTTATCCATGCCCTGTCCAATTGTTCCAGTCATAAAGCCAGTTAAACATGCCAACAACATTTAGGTTTATTTTGTGTCATTTAAGTCACATCTAAGAAAAAGAAGAGGGGGATGGTGGTGACAGGATACAGATCTAAACTTGGAAACTGTGTTGTTGCCAGCCAGACTTACAGACACATAGAACAGATTTGAAGACCATGGGTCAGGCTTGAGTTGCAGATAGGTAGGAATGCAAATTATTCTGTTAATGACTGTGGCATTGCGATTTGATGGAAAAAACAAAAATACTGCCCATCTCTATAATCTTCACTCAAAAGTGCGACTTCTGCTACATTTGTTTCCTGTTAAATTTCTGACCTATGGTTTAGTAGTTTCACAAATCTAGCCATATGTATAAAATTACAGCAAAGAGGTGCAATTGATTTAGTGCAAGACACTTGAATATTTATCTGAACAAAACAAACAAACAGAGGAAGATCAAAGACTCAATACACTTCTCCATAAGGCAGATGGTCATTTTTTAAATATAAGATCTTAAATATGCTGTTTATTTCTTAAGAGGTAGAAAATATCAAAATACTAAGAAAAAATTTCTAGCTTAAAACAATCAGTTTGCTTACTTTTTAAAAAGTCTTACTGTTGCAATTTTTAGGTTAATAAAAACAAATTAAGCTATGGAAGCACAGGATTTCGTGCTCTGTATAGATTTTACTTACTGGAAAAAGAGAGAGCTGTTTCAGCTAGTCAGTGCTTAAGCATTATGTACAAAGGATCTCCTCCTCTTGCCCTGTTGGGGGCTATAAAATCTGAAGATTCCCAGTGGAAAATTTTGGTGATTCCTGAATTTCTAGCACTACATTTAGCCGGGTACAGTTTACGTATAAGGCAGGAGAACCACTGATGTAAGCTCAGAACCACCTCTTCCATAATGCTAAGAAGAAAGCTAATAGAAGCAAAAGCTTATTTAAATCTTTTCTACAGGCAGCAAATGATCGTACTCAGATTCCAGCACCTGCTGATAATCTGTTTTAGCAATTTATACCAGCCTAGAGACAGCTGAACTATTCATTGAACTGTGGAAGCCTACTTACGGTTTGAGTTACTGAGGCTTGCACTCTGATTTCCCAGCACAGCTAGCAGATGCTGATGCTGCTGTCTCCAATGCAATTCAATAAGGCATAAGTTAACTCAGAACTGACGTTATTACACAACAGAAAAGTAGTGTAAAAGCTCCTCTTTTCCCTCTCACTGTTAACATTCAGTACTATTTATTAAATACTTTATAAAAAGAAGTTAGGGTATTTATACATTCAAACAATCACTGCAATAGTCAGAGTAAAGAAAACAAATGAATTATCAGATTCTAAATTAAGTACAATTCTGGAGATATGCACACTTACACACATACACATGCCCCACACATATATTATATGTGTGTGTGTGTATATAGATATATGTATATATATAGATATATTTTATATATACTTCTTTTAAATCAGGTCCAAGAATACAGCACAGAATATCTTCACTTTGTTCCTCTTTCACCAGAGGACAGGATTGTCCAGTTTGGAAAAACCAGGTTCTTTTCTAAGGTCCATGTAGGTTCCATTGCTCACCCAGGAGTCATCATTGGATTTCCTATCAAAGATTAAACAAATGCCTTAAATGTAAAGCTTATTTTCCATACGTGTGCTGTGTAATGCAATGTAGCACTATGCACAGATACCCAATCCAGCCCACGGACCAGGTGCAGTGCAACTCAGTACAGCCTTCAAACAAGGCAATATAGCCTGGGGAGTGGAACTGGTACATTTGCACTGGGCCTCAAAGACACACCTGAGTAGCCTCGAGTTCGGCTGAGATCAACACTCTCATTTCACTGTCACATGCCAGCACTTAGCACTTAAAACTACAGTCCAGGCTTATTTTGTGGTCTCAAAGGCAGCTTTGAGTGGAAAGTGGAAACTTTCCTTTTACCTTTTCGAAGATGGCTCATCATGGTTATTGCACAAAGAGAGCCTATAGCTCTCGGTCAAGAGGCGAGACTCACTGCACTAGGTACTGTACCTCTGCTTTTAATCTAGTGGACAATATTCTTGGCACAACAGCAAATTATTCTTTTACGTAAATCATGGCTTGTGATTTCCTGAAGAGAGAAATCACTATTGAAAAGCCAAATGCATAATTCATATCTAGTCTAACACTGGGTAACACTTTTGCTATATAGTAGTTAAATTCTTGTATTCTGTTACCTAAATCTACAGCACAATTTTCAAATCTTCATTGTGAGGATTCAAATCTTCATCGGCATTCAATTCCTCATTGTGAATATACAGTTACAAAGTATCAGACTTTATCTCTATCCTGTCTTTTTAGGCTGCTGGAAGCAACATTTGCTTCTCTTTGGCAGGTGTGATTGACAAGCGATGAGTTAGCTCACCAGCTCCTTGTGGTCTGAGGCACTTCCTTTTTGCACCTATTTTAAACGTTTCTGTGCTCATCAGAAGTACAGTATCTATCCAGAAAAAAAATGAGGATCCCAGATCTGTTCACCGTGATACACAGGCCCATGCAACATTAACCTTGGCTCCAACTCTTTCATTGCAGGAGAACAGAGGAGGTGGAGGGGAAAAGGCCGTGTCCTCACTTGCATTCATTTTTGTCTTTTGATGGCTGAAGTCTCCCATTAATTGATTTACAACAGGAAGAAATAAAGTGCCCTCAAAAATAGCCCTGGAAATAAAAGTCTCCAAATCTGCACACTTCTGCGCAAGGCAATCCTACTGAATTCAGCAGAGGTAATTAAGCTAAATCCAGCTACTTTACCTTGCTTGAAAAAATCAAAGATGCTACATTCACTCAGGCAAATTCAAACGTAGACTAAATTACCAATCACTACCAAGGCAAAAAAATCAGAAAGAATTTCAGGGATGCACTAATGAAAAAGCAACATATAATCCTGAGTTTTAACTAAGTCTGGAGTGTTCTACATTGCCAAAGTACAAAAATGAAGAATATAGAAGAAACCTGGAAAAAAATGGAGCCTGCTCTATAGCAGTTTAGAACCAGAACTATAATAAGAATTTCAATAAATGGTAGTATATGCTAATTATAATATAGTACCTGAAAAATCTAGGCTGATGCTCCAGATTGTTTTCTTCCAGCACCTTCCGTCGTTCTCTCTGTAGTTGCTCAATCCTCTGCTTTTGCATTTCAGCTCCTTCAATATTCCCTTCTTCTAGAAACCTGTAGCAACAGCAGTGATAAGAGACAAAATTGGTGCTCCTGTCCCCCATCTTTGCCAGGTCCTGTATAGCTCCAGAATCTGATCTTTACAGCAGGCAGTTCACGGTGTTTGAAAGGTAAACAGCTGCATCTGCAGAAAACTGCACTATTAAAAAGTACTTAAGGAAAAGTAACTCTCATAACAAGCTCAGAGTCATCGTTATATTATATTCTTTTCCTTGGAAGTTAGCAACAGTAGAAATTCCACTGCAGAAAGACACTTCAAGTGTCTCACTTTTTGGCTACTTAAACACAATGCACTCAACATCTAGTACCTGAAGTACTGAAATTGTAACATCTTTGGAAAGGCAGTTATCTAGAAGCATGCAAGAGCCAATTTTAGGAAACAGTGATCCATAATGACTAGATCATCTCTTGATAAGTGATTAAAATGCCATTTTCAGATGCACATTAATGTAGAAATAGAAACACACTGCAGCTATCTACACAAAATTGTCTGAGGTTAGGGTAAAGTGAGCATACAAAAGATTAAGAACTATTTGAGGAAGATATTTAAGAGTTAAAACTTCTTACCTTTGGTCCGGCCTAAAACGTGTATCAGTGGATGGGAGTAATGGCCTCGTTTGCAGATCCAGTTCATTTAACTCCAGTGCAAATTGAGTAAATCCATACCACTGTTCATAATCTTTAGGCATCGGATCTACAGAAGAAGAGTACATTCAGAATTCCTATTAAATGCTATTATCTTTAGAAGGAAAATGCCAAGCTCCACTCAATCATTTGTTCATGACTCATGACCCATGATCTCAATTCTGGGGAAATAAGATGTTTTTAATAATGTGAAAAAAGACAACATCCCCCTTGATAATTGTACTGCAAAAAAAACCCAGATTTCTGTTCTCTCAGTTGAATCAAAGCACAGCTGTGAGGATGCCATGGTATTATCATAGTGCTTTTTCAAACGACAGTAGACAAAACCCCATGAGTTTGGGAGAAGTTCAGGTAGGGCTATTACAGAATTGAGCTTTGTGGGCTATCCTCCAATGTTTAATACATGAAATACACAACTTTTCTGCACAAAAAGTGGGGGGGTTGTTTGTTTTTTTTTTTTTTTTCATTTCTTTTGGAGTTCTCAATACCCACTTCGTGCCCAAATATGAAAATGAGGGAGAATGTAGAAAATGCAGGAAGCCAAGGGATTAAGTTCTCCATATTATTTAAGTTAAATGATGTATTCTTCTGGTCTACATTTTAAATGCTTGACAAAAATTTAATATTCACGTAGAAATAACAAGAAGCTGGGGCCTAATAGAGAGAACAAAATAGTAAGCTGCTTCTCAAGCAGATCTTAAGTTATGTGTTAGCCATTCTGATCACTAACTTGCTCTCCATATGCAGTTTGAAGATGAAGTTGTCCCACAGTATAAACTTTCATGCCACTTCCCAAAGAGTCGATGCACAACTTTCCCAGCTTTATCCATGACACTGCCTTCAATCTCATGTGCATTTGGGTTCCAATACTTTGCCTACAATTAAAAGAAACAAGGAGAAAAAAGGTGCATAAGAGATCAAGTGTGAACAGTTTTGCCATGTCACTAGCACCATGCTGTAGAGTGGTTTTCTGAAATGAAAACTATTCATTTAGGTATGCATTACAATATGCAAACAACTGGTGTTAGTAGTATTAATTGGCTTATTAAAATACTAACGTTGAGAATCATATTTATTCTGTTTGCCTTTTTTTCAGGGCAGTACTAGGTGAAGCATAGCTGACCTTGAATTTAACCCAATGCCAAGTAAGACTGACTCCCAATTTAGTTATCTACATCTTCCCCAAATTTGCAGAAGAGGAAGAGAAGGAACTGATACAGTAATTTCCACTTTAGACAATCTACAATATCAAAGGTATAAGATTTGCAGGCTCCCAATCTTTAAAATTTGAACTCTGCAAATACATTACAGTACTGTCAAATAAGTATTTGGAAAAAAAAAAAAATCACCCTAATGCTTCTAGAAAGCACAAAGTATTCAGGAAAACAAATAAGAAAAGGAATCTTTCCTTCTGCTGCTGAGCATGCCATATTGCGTAAGTATGCTGAAGTACTTAGGTTGTATTTATAGGGTCATTTCTATGTAAAGCACAGCCTTTCTCCAGCGATCAGATGCAGAAAATGCAGGTTAAGGTAAGTCTCCTGGCATGCTTTGCAAAACTATTTCTCAGGTTAGAAATTTTGGCATCGTTTTAGGTTTTCATAGATTTTCCTTTAATAGGAAGAAGTAATCTATTGCCAAAGCCTAATTTTAATTTCAGTTATAAGGGCATAGCCTGAACAAGTCATATCTTGATGCCTTGTACTGAAGCAAAAGCTTTGAGTAATACCACAACCTCTCACTTGAGCTCCTCCGAGTATCTGCAAAGGGCTAGAAAAGCGCATTGGGTGACGCACCCCACATAAGCACTGGTTCTACAGTTGTTGAATGAATGGGATCACAGCACATGCCAATGTGTTAGCAGGAGGCATGTGGTAAACCACCTTGTGCCTACCTCTCTCATCAAACACAGAGTAGGTTTTTCATCCACTCATCATGGAGGCCCCATCCCTGGAAGTGTTCAAGGCCAGGCTGGATGGGGCTTTGAACAACGTGGTCTAGTGGGAGGTGTCCCTGCCCGTGGCAGGGGGGTTAGAACTAGATGATCTTCAGGGTGTCTTCCCACTATAACTATTCTATGATTCTATGATCATATGTCTTCCTTTCTTTTCCCCATACTTTTCTGCTTGTCAAGTGGAATCACCTGAGAAAGCTGTCGCTTCTCTTTCTTGTCTGGCTCCACCTAGTGAACAGCAGTTCCTTCAAAGTTAAAGTTTCTCAAAGAATCACAGGTAATTACAGCAGAACTATAGGAAAATACAGCTTGTAAGCAGTTGTACTGAGCTTCAGCAGAGAGCATCCACCCACTGATGTGTCTGTTAGAAAAGGCATTGCCAACATTGCTGTGGTTACTGCTGTGGTTACCTTTATGAAAGTCAGTTTGCAGTGGCAAGTGTCATCATTAAGATTTTTGATGATGATCTCGCCATAGTGTTCAATCCATCTTTGCCCACTTAAGATGTTATGGATGCAAGATGTCACCTTGTTCCATGCAAAATGGTCTTTAAAACTGTAAGAAAAATACACATAAGAAAAATCTCATGCCACGTTCAAAGGAACTGATAAACTTGTGAAAAAAAATTGCAGAGAACTCGATTAGAAAAACCCCACAAAACAATAATTTTTGTGGAATGCCTCATCTCCTTGTCCACACCTTCTCAAAACCAAACCCTGTGATGACAATCCTGTCTCCCAGAAAATCGTTTTCACTTCTGCTATAAAACTTTGGTCTTGAACTCAGTTTTCTCTCAATTTACTTGCCCCTATTTACCAGTTTTATGTTTCCAAAAGTAATCATTCTAGTATCTTCTACTGGCTGAAACGCCCATTTCACAGCTTGTAACACAGTGACAACTGAAAACCCAAGGACATGGGCCACCAGAGTCATCAGAAGGCTTATTGAGTGGAATAGCTTGGCTCAAGCTCTCAAGACTGAGCCTATGTGTGTGCTTCAGGCAAGAGCAAAAGTTCTCACCAGGTAGTTCAAGATGCAGTTGCACACTGGAAGACAGCAGACAGGGAGAGATGAAAAACACCAATAGGTAATAGAACATTTTACCTTTTATTAAAGAAGTATATGTTCTTATAAAACAGCTTTATATAACTTCAAGGAAAGGAATATCTCGTGAAGACATATATTCTACAATTTGTTCTGGATATTGATAGCCCAGTTGCTACTGGTAAGGCAAAGGGTAAACTTACAAAGCACCAGGTTCCCCATAGCAACTGCCTCGCACACATCCCATGAGGATATTAGAATCTTTTCTTACCTCCCCTTAATTGCTTGCTTTCACTTGGTGCTTTGTAAGAGCATGCACAAGGACAGTTTTTACAGACTAGCAGATCTGCAACCAATTTACCCCACAGCAACTTGTTTTCCTGCCCCAACCCGCAGGTCACATGCTCTATTATGCATCCTAAAAATACTGTATTTGCTCCAAAAAACCCCTTAATATGAATGCTTCCTTTTTGCCTATAGCCTCAGTAGCTTTTTTGCACCCAATTCTACATCAGATACACAGGGATACAAACCAGCATACGGAGACCACACATGAAACGCATTTTATCCAGTCCATCAGTCCACCATGGGCCCTAATCCATTAGTTACCTTGACTCTGAACCCTCACTCACATCCTAAAGACCTTTCACTCCACAGCTTAGGCTAGCCACTGTGACCACAACACGTTTTATACATTACCTTTTGGATACTACCTTGCTATATCACAATTTTACCCACTTAAAAGAAAAAGGCATACTTAGTCACTTAGTCTGATAAGTGCTAGGTTACTGAGTTATTTTTCTTTTTTTCAGATGGCGGAATAATTAATTTTGTAGACTCTCTTTGGAAAACAGATTTAATTGGAACACTACTCAACCCTTAGACCTCTGGTTCTGCAAACACAATGGATATAAGCCAAATTTTAAAGGATTTTAATTGTTGATCTATAATGGGCACTCTGACAAGCCAGCATAGGAACACTGCAGATTTTTATTAACAAAAAAAATAAAAATTAAACTATACTTAACTACAGTGGCTGCTTACTTCCTCGGATAATAAACACCAGATATGCAACTGGTTCTATTTATCACTTACAATAATTATTTATGCAGCTATCAGTCTCGCCTACAGACCAAAACCCCATGGTGTTAGGGCCTGTACAAATATATGTACAAAAGACAGCAGCAGCAACACCACCACCCATTACTCCAAACCCAAATTCAAGCAAAATAATTCATAGCTTCCTCTACCGTGCAGTTTTTCCCTGAGTTTAAAATGCGTGAAACTTGAAATTCAACTGAAGTATGAAAATACCAACTTTGCTTTTTTCAGGATACACAGGGGTGGTGCTTATTTCATCTTTTGTTTTTTATAACCCTTGGAAGAGTTAGTGCTTTTGTTTTATGTTTCTGGTTTTGTGTTTGTTTGTGTTTTTTTTTCTTTTTTTCCTGCCCTCCTCTCTTTAAACTAAATCATAATCACTAATTTTTCCAAAGATATAATGTGGCACAGCACAGCTTGTTCTCGTCTGGATAAATGCGGCTCCAGTATGTGCAAACATGTCTGTGCCTGTGTGTGAACAGCAATGCACGACTGCAGCACTTACGCTGGAAGAGTTACATGTGTTGTACCGACTGGAACAATTTCCATGGACTTTCCCCAGAATTTGTTTTTCCATCTTACATCTGCAACAGGAAGAGGAAAAAAAAAAAAGACATGTTTAGTCATAAGCATGGGTGAATCATTCTATTTCTGGGTTCTACTTTATTTTCAAGAAATGCAAAATAACAAAGTGCAACATAATAATAGTATTCAAAGAATTCAAATGTGGTTTTGTTTGGGGTTTTTTCATTACATTATTGGTTACCTAATTAGCAAAGTAACAAGTTTAAAAATCCTCTCTCAAAAACTTTTTCAAGAGAGAGGAATTTGAATAAGCTATAGATAGCATACATTTATCTGCAATTCCATTTCGTTGAATGTATGCAGACATTTCCAAAAACAAAAGCAGAATTTCAAATACAAAAATATAGCAACTAAGCACATCCACAGTGAAGAAGCAAAAGAACGTTTCAAAGGGCACAAAATTGCAGAGGGATTTAGTCCAACTTCCTCTGTTAGTTTAACTGGCCTTTTAAAATCTTGTTTGAATCACAGAAAGACGTGTCCAAGTCTCATGTCATTTCTCAAAAAAAAAAAAAAAAAGGATGAGAAATCTCAATGCAAATTTAGCCAAATTTATTGAGCAAAAACACCTGAAGAGAAACAAACTTGGACAGAGAAGTATGGCAGAAGGGGTATAGATTTAAATTAGGCTAGACAACCAGGCAGTAACTTTCATAGTAACTTCAGGGTTCAGGGGAATATTATCCTTGCTGCATTAGACACTAGGAACTCCATTCCCTGCCCAATCTGAAAAAGAGGGGAAAAAAAAATATCTCTAGTCTCAAGAAGATGCCATTACTAACACGAGGAAACCAAAACACTGTTTCCTATGCAATTGTGGGGGGAAGCTGTTATGCCAGCTGAGAGATAGATGCTCAAACTGTTAGGAGATTACATCTCTCCCAAGTTCAAGTTACAGGACTGAGCCTCACCAGCTGCCTACCATTGCAAAGGCTGAAATGGGACATAGGGCAGAATTCTTCATGAAAAAAGTAACCCTTTTCTTATCACTTGAGAAAGGGACCTTTGTGTTGTTTTTTTTTTAATTTTGATGTTTGATGCTAGGCCAGCATCCTGAGTGACAGCAATTCTGTGTGATTCCTATAGTGCACAATGAGAGGTCCAAAACTACCTTGACTATGATGGTGGAGCCAAATTCCGTAATAGCTTTTTCTCTTCTGCAGCAGGATGGAAGAGAAAGGGCAAAGGCACACTCTGCTGAGTTTAACTTAAAATATATTCTCAGATTGTGTTACATTCTGTGTTCTCATAAATGGCACAGCTGTCCCACAGAGATCAGTACATGGGAAACATCTTTGGAACCAGTGTGTAACTTGATCATGCAAATATTTTAGGACAGCTAAGAAAAGTGAAGTTTTATTTTCAAAGCTATGCTCAGACTAATTCAGGCACAGATGCTGCAATAGCTGGAAATTTCTATTCTGTGTTTCAACTGTTTGCGTGTCCACACTCCTTTGCAAAAGCAGAGTCAGCTTCCTAAGTCAGGGAAAACAATTTCCAAAATAACTGTCCCTGTCAAAACCCAGTCTTCTGGCTCACTAGAGATGATCAAGAGATTTCTTGATGTTAAAACAGATGAACTAAGGTCAGTGTCTGGTGGGATGACAGCACTACTCCGGCAATGTTGCTGAGGACTGTCTCCTTTTTGGCTGAGGAGATAATATGGTAAGCGAAAAGATCTTTGCACGCAGAAAGAACTTACCGCATTTACAACATTTACAACATTTACACATTTACCTTTATGATTAACTTGGTGTTAATCTTTCCGCATAAGTTAATATAGCCCCGTAAGAAGAGCCCACAGCATTTACAAACTGCCTTTGCATTGGAAAAAAATCATTGTCTAGATCTCCCATAAGCTCAGCTAGCCACATTTAAAACCAAACCAAACCAAACCAAAACCAACCCCCAAAACCCTTCAGTACCCTGATTGAGTCTCCTGTCCCAATCAAGACCAAATCTTAGACTCTTTCTCATTGATCATATTCTCAACTCTCATGTTTACAGAAGAGCTTTATTCTCTAAATGCAAGTGTTAAAACATTTGAGTGATAACTGTTGTCAAGATCTGTTAAACAAATCAGTCTCATCAGTTTTTATTAAGACAGGCTGCTATCTAGTCTTATTTAAACAGTATTTAGTTACTGAATAAAGTTTTGGTCATCTCTGCTTTTTTGCTAAGAACAAAAGGACTCTTCTCCCTGTATTTGTTTACAGAGCGAAGAATTATATTGAATAACAAAACCCAGACTAATGACAGAGTTCCTGTTTCTGTTCAGTATGGCTTTATCTGTAATAACTATAATCAAGTCAGCAGTGTCAATCATAACAGAATTAAAGGTTATAATACCGCTACATTGTGAATTGATGAACCTCTGGGTGAAGGATTTTAACTGAGTTAAAAGGCACAGTTATGTTCTGTGTACACTCCAAAAATATCTAACCACACAGGTACTGTGACTGGCTGACAACTTCACCAGCATTACACAGCAAACAAAGCTCCAAAACAGGTTATTTGGAAACACAATGTCAGCAGTCAAATTGCACGAAATCTTACATACTGTAATAATGCCAGCAGAGAAAGACATGGTAAATATATTTACCCTTACTGTTATGCTGATTTTTGGAATTTTTTCTCCAAACAAGTTTACAAGATCTATCAAGGATCAGGATTTAACTTGTAGTTTTTCAAGCTGTGTTCTACCTTGTTTATTTTATAAATAGCTTGAGGTACAACTTTTCCTTACTAAAGAACACCCCTCTCCCCCAAACAAACCCAATTTTAAAGAAATGCAGATATTTGTACGTGAAAAGAATAACTAATGTTATTTAAAAAACTTGATGAATCTACAAGGGCAGAACATCCAAGTAAGAAGCATGCAAGTAAGTACAGGCTAGCATTTCTTAAAGCCTCTTAAAGCATTCTAATACAATTTAAGCAGGGAATTTCACCTTTTCCCAATTTCTGGATATTTCATGTTAGACACACAATGAAAGTATTATGAACACTGTAAAAGTAAATGATAGACTAAAGAGTTACCTTGCCAAAAAGCAAAATTCACAGATTCAGCATGGCATGCAGAAATAGGTGGATGGTGACTGACCTAATAGCAAGACATGAAAGGAGAAAAAAAAAAAAAGGACATATTAACAAATGAACAGTAATTTTAGTTTCTTTTTTTCCCCCCTCCTTCATTTTTCATTTGCATATGGCATTTACAAATTGAACATATACTTTCCTTTTGCAGTTGTGTCCTGAAGGGGGAGTCGGTGAGATTAATAAGGTACTGAGACCTAGGAAGCCTTGAAAGAAATGGGAAGGACTTCTTTTAAAAGGCCTGTGAATTTTGTTCATTGAGCGAAAAAACTAACTATATATTTTGTACCTTGTCTCTAATGTGATAATTACATTTACCCTTAGGCCCCCCTTTAATACATTAACAGAAGCCGCACTTTAAGCACACTGACAAAAGGAAAAAAACCAAAGGGACAAATTCTTCTGTACAGTAAATACCCACAAACCCCTGACTGTGAGGGAGTAGATCTCTGAGGGGGCCACGGGTGGACATATCAAGCCATGAAATTCCACCTAGCAACCCCTACTGCTGCAGTAGCAACACCTCAGGTGTTTCTCGTGCAAAACTCTAACCATGCGCACTGCATTCTATCATCTTTGGGTAATAGCACATACATAAATTAGAGCAACCACCAAAATAGCAAAGCAAGCACTGTGAATAAATAAAGAAATACACAATGCAGACTATTAAAAGGAAATAGTAAATAATAAAGTAACTTCACAAAGTGAAAGCAGCCACTACTCCTTGGCTGTAAATTCTCCCTTCTGGGTGAACGCAACTAACAGCTGTCCAGGACCAACTCTTTGATGTGTAATGCCTACTGTTCTTTTGACAGACAACTTTATTTTCAAGTCAAATTGCTATTTCCCACTATGAATTTAATTTCTTAACCACCTACATGGCTCAAATGCAATTTTACTTTCTTCATTACTCATTTTGCAAATATGTTATCGAGAATTTTTTCTGCGGGCATCCAGTTATTTAATGTACATCCTCTACTTGGTTCAAAAAAAGGTAATTACTAATTACTCTCAGCTATGCTCTAAATCCACCAAGAGCAACACTCTCTCTCTCACATACTGCACCGAGATTAACCCCAGATGTCACTATAATTCATGGGTTAAACTTAGTTCTCACTTAAACTGTTGTAATTCCAGAGTAAGGTCACGGAGCTAAGTGGAGTTATTCTAAACTCACTCTAGTAATAGAACAGAATCTCTGTTATTTTATAGATTTTGCCTATTTCACGGATTACACACTATCTGCACTAACAAGTTATGTAGAGTAAGCACCAAAATGCTTGCACAAACAAGCAATAAGCAATAGCTCCAACAGCTCCTGATGCAAAAATAAATATTTAATGCTTGCAAACTGCATGAAATTGCTTTCTTCCTATACTGCCCTCCCTTCCTAACAGTCCTCCGTGCCCCACTATTACAGTAACTTTACCACTATAAACTCATGTCACATATTGTACATATTAGGACAATAATATTGCTCCTTTTTGTCAGTTCTAAAATACAATGTACAAAATATTGTATCTTCAGAGGTGGTCAAAACCACTTTTTGTTTCCTAAAGGAAGTTTAGGAACATTTCCTAAAAGCCTTAGAAGGCTTTCTCTGATCATGTTTCTAGGTTGTACACCTTTGCTCACTGCACTTTTTGTAATTTTTTTTTTGTTACGTCTAGACAGAAGGAGACAACTTTTAATCATTCTTACTCTGCTTGGTACCAGATTATTTAAGTTTTGTCTCTTTTTAACATACATCTCGAGCTTAGCAATTTTGGTAACTTGGCTGGTTTAAATTTAATATTTTTCACCCATACTTAATAATTAATTCTCCTATTGGGGAATTACTTTCATAAACACTCAGACCTTGATGTGTTGTATACATCCTTCACCTGCTAAGCTGTGGTACAAGATTTGAAAGGCTTCGCCCACAAAGTATTTGGACAGGGAACAGAAATATTCATGGTGCCACAGAAAAATACTAGTGGTTGATTGACTCATACATGGGAAATATTGTTATAAAAGAGGACCTTAAACAGCTGAAGATACAGTTATTTTAATGATCACACACAAAAGAAAATGACAAGAATGTGAATGCTTGCTGCAGTCATGATCAGATTTCAGCATGGGGAACTGCACTCTACTTAACCAAGTTATCGAGTTACTGTAGTAGGCTGCCTGCCAGCCCTCGCTTCTCCAGTGTCAGCTGTTGGTTGTCATGTTCCGTCTCAGAGTTAGCAGACTTTCCTCAAAAACCAATTTCCTTCATTTATAATTCTGCAACATCTCTTTGAGTTTTGCTGGGTTCAGGTTACGTAAAGTATTTTGTATTTTGCTTAAATCCAGAGGATTCCAACCATGCATTCAGAATTAAGCAGTGTATCAAGTAGCAAATCTAAGGGTTGCAGCATACAGTACCTGTTCCGCAAAGAACTGGAAACCCTTATCTTCACGAATACATTCATAGGTTTCTCCAAGCACAGGATTAAATGGCTTACTTCCAGCTCGGTAGTAACTGGATGCATATGCAGAGACTGCAAATGCAGCTATATACACCTGGGAATAACATATGCAGAATTTTGATTAATTAGTTTACTGCAGCCATGCACAGTTTTTGCTACACATTTTGATTTAACAGAAGAAAAAAAAATAAGGTCTTATCCTGACATCAGAGTCTGTATTTTTCCCCATCATTTGCAGACTAAAAACATGCATGCCTCCTGCAGGTTAAGCACTGGCTCACACGTTAGTGAATTATTCAGTTTTTAGAGTCATTCAGTGGTCCAGGGATGGAGTTATTAGGGTCAAACAGTGCAAATTTCATCAACTGAACACAGCATTTCTGAAAATTGTTTGAAACAGCTTAGCATTCTGCAACACAGTTCAAAGCAGTAACCTTAAAAATCACTGTTAGATTTTGTATTATAAATGGCTTTTATAGTTATGGCCTGTGATTCTATGGATTTCCTAAACATGGCACAGGAAGTATTGGATGAGCATTCACCAAGTTTGCTACTTCTAATACAGTTTGAATTGAATTGCCTTTTATCTACTGTGTGCTATTACCTAATCATGAAACTGTTCTTGATTATAATTGAGACACAGGTAACCCTTCCAAATTTTTGCAGTCAACTCAAGCATAATTCCTCCTAAATGTGAGGAATTAAAATCTGAAATTGTTCAATTTAGGTCTCTTTTGTACCATTTTTCTCCCTTTTGGTTTCCTTTTCCTCATCTTGTAAAAGTGTAGATGCTCTCCTTTCACAATTTCAGAAACTGAACCCACTTCAGAATGGCTCTTTTATGAACTATTGCAATTACTATGCAACAGCTAGAATTAATTTTGACTCAGGAATTTCTCAAGGGCAAAGAATACTCCATTCTGAGGTAATTTCCATTGGATGGGGGAAGGAGGGAGAAAGCTTCTTCTCACTCCCATATGAACAACTACTGCTCATTTCCTTTTCCTTTTAACTTATGTTCTCACGAGAACAAAAAAAGCTATGCACCTAAAACCCCAGTTAATAGCCATACCCTCTGTCCTGAGAGCAGACACTAAATTGTAACCCTTGCAGAGTGTCAGAATGGAGCGAGAGGCTTTTCAAACAGTATTTACAACACGACTATTTACATTCATTAATAACTTCATTTTAAGATAAGATCCAGAGTTGCAAAGGCTTAATTCAGTTTAAGGGACAATCTATAGCTTCCATATAAGAGAATTTAGAGAGCTTTTAATCCTTTATTTATGGGCTTACATATTAAGTAGCTCTTGTGCACCTGGAAGCGGAACAACCGAAAGGCATTTTTCTCTTGTTCTTTTGCCAAATGCTGAATTCAGGGCTCCACACTGGCAGAAGATGACACCATTATTGTACCCAACATACATTCATACTGCCTGGTTTTGAGATTCTGAACATTTTGGATCGACCCCAAAACTTCACAAAACCAGTTAATAAAACAAATGGAGCTCATTTAGTTAATATAAGGATATCACAGTAATGTAGGGCTGGAAGATCCAGCACCTTCTATGTGCAAATGTGTTACCAAATTAGACATCCTTAAAAAAAGATGTATTGTAGCTTTCATGCTCAAGAGGGAAGTTTACTAGTTCAACCCTGCCTTTTTGCTGCAAATTTCTAATCTCACAGAGTAAAAGCTGCAAAACAGAACTAAACTATTTCTTTGTTTGACCTTGCAAGACAGCAAGGTACTTGGGGAGAGACATTTCCTGACAAAGCAACAGAAATTATGCAGAAGAGTCAAAAACAGTGGCTATGTAAGTATATACAGTCACACGTCTGCCTCTCTCAGCTGGGAGAAAAAGAAAAATGGAACAGAGTATCTTCATTTCTTTGGCAGATTGTTTTTATCCTTATTCTAATTATATTGAGTGCTACTAAGTATTTGGAGTAACGTATTTACCATCCGTTCGAATGGGTCAGGTGTATGCGCTGCTTTATCTAGTAGTTCACTGTACTCCAGCTCCTCGCAGAGACGCTGAAGGGTGTTAAGTGGCTCATTTAATTCAACAGGCATGGCCACTTTGGAGAGATCCTTTCCTATGTTATTTCTCAGGATATTCCATAGGCTGATGTTACTTGTATTAGGACACGGAGCTGGCAAACATGTTCTCCGTTTAGAATTGCATCCGATTCCACTTTCAGAAATACAGTCTGAAAAGGAAGGAAGTGGCAGAACAAGTCAATTCACTGCTTACTTAGTTTCATCCCCTTTGCAAACATGCATTAAAATGTGACCATCTTTTTTCTGTCAAAACCTCCTTCCACCCTCACAGTTCATTTAAGTGTTTCACTTGCGGTTTGAAGATAGCCTACTATAAAAATGAGAACATTAAAACAAGATTTTAATTTCTGTATGTTAACTGAGGTAAATGCCAGGTACAAAAGATGCATAAAAAAACTACATCCTTCCCCCTGAAGGCTATAAGAAAGGCTCAGGATTCCCACTGAATTTGAAAGAGTGAATATTACAAGTATTTTATTTGTAACAGAGTGTTACAAAGGAGGTGTTTAAGGGACACAAAACCTCCCTCCTTGACAGAGCTTCAATTAAGTTGACATTTCTCAGAAAGCAAGATGTAACTTACAGATCCAAGCATAAAAACAACTCCTACCTATCTTTTCCTACTTTTTTGAATACTCCTACCAAGGAAATTTACTGTACCAGAAATTTACATGCAGGCTTTTCCACAGTGCTCCCCATAGTGCTTAGCATTTAAAAAATTTTAATGATGTTAGCTTTTAGATACACCCATACGCTGGTGGAAAAACAGCCTGTTTTAATGGTGGAAAAGCTCAAGCAACTGTGGAGCTATAGGTTTGCTGAAGATAAAAAAAAGGACTCATGTCAAGGGTCCTTAACACGAGTATCTGAGGCCTGTGTTGCTATGTCAAAGCAATTGGAACAGGATAAATAGTTTTAAGTGTGCCACGAAATGATTTGTGGCACGATTAAAATACAGCTACAAGCTTCTGCAACAGGCACTAGTCTGAAGTGATTACATTGCATAGCTGTATATCAGTCTCGTTTCAGAGAGGAATATGGTTGCCACTACAAGAACATATTTTATCTTTATCTGGGTCCCTAGAAGCACCTAGGAAGCTCCTGCCCTGGAATCAGTTACCATTTGGAGACATTCAGGTATAGCCTCACTCTGTCAACCCCTGTCTTCACTTGTCTTTCATCACACAGCTTTGTCTTGGAGGAATTAAACCAGCACTGAGCAGCACATCTTTCCTGTGCTGCACATACCCAAAGAATCACTGCCCTTTAATGGACAATTTCAACCAGTATTTCCTCTGCTGGTCCACTGACATAAGCATGATGTCAGCAGTGCTTCCAACACTGACAAAGTACAGATAACCACATGGGCTAACTTCTCCATCACTGCCATGTATGCTAGCCTGTGCCTCAGATGTGCAGTTTCAAGTGTAATCAGCAGCCTCAAAGTTTTGAGGAAGAAGTTCCGATATTTCCTGACACCCACAAACTGGAAGTCCTGCTATCTCATATGATGAAGTTACTGTACCAAGGACGGGTGAACTATTTGCAGTCTACTGCCTCTCTCTTTGCATAAAAATGGCACGGGCACTATGAATCAAAAAAATCTACCAGAAACAATTACACTGTTAAGAGTTAAGAGGTTGGCTCCTATACTCCCCTCTTGGAATAATTTATTTAATATCAGAAGAGGCCAAAAAGAAGGATGTTCCTGTAGATACCTCAGGAATGAGGGGGTATCTGGAGAGGAAGGAGGTAAATGCTAAAAAATGATCCTTGTTCAAAAGAGCTCTCTGAAATGGGATTTGGCTATGTCCTTTGACAGCTTCTGATTAAAAGCAGAATACTAATTGACTGAACTACGTATTCTGGACCAGCCCATTAACTGGGGTAAACAGGTGACAAAACTGAGTAGAGAAACAACTAAGATATCCAGATACCAATTTTTCTATACAGTGAAGTTTGCCCACCCCCCATGAAAAAAAAAAAACTATGCAGTTCTGGTTTGAGAGAGATATGACAAGTGGCCAGCAACAATACTGAAGGAGATTAAGACATCTGACCTCCAGCTAGACTCAATGACTTTTAAGGCCAGACTCAACCATTATCATCATCTGGTCTGACCTTCTACATTACAGTGGCCAGAGGATTTTATCATAATCCCACAATTTATGGTTCAGCTAAAGCCCTGTAGGAAAAAGACATCCAGTTTGCTATTAATGGTAGTGGCAGGCTGCCCAAAGCACAGAAATAGCAGGTACCAGAGAAGCATGTGGAGGTGCTGCTAATACAGAAGAGCTTCAGGGATAGTCTTTGTTACAAAAAGAGGAACAGCCACACTGGTACAGTTTTCTAAGGTCCAGATCATGAGATAAATCAATCTGCATTCTTTCCTATCTTTCAAAAAAAAAAAAAAAATCTTCATTTTTACGCAGCTACAGAATACAACAGATGTCCAGGCATATCAAACTACCCGAGTTCATAGGAATCCACTCGTCCTTGGAGATGATCAGGAAACAGCTGCTAGTAAGAAAACACTGTTCTGCACTTTTTAAGATAAATATACATTGATAGAGTGGAAAAAACATTGTGGTTAGCTGAAAAGAGTTGAAGGCACAAAGCCAGTTAGTTTGTTATGACTTCTCCATCTTTTTTGATTCTGTCTCTAATTAGCAAGACTGTTAAATAAGCATATGTGCAAGCAAGACTATCATGATGAAAACATGCAAAAAAGAAATCCTTATGGACATACACCAGGCCTGCCAGTGTGTAATTATTCTCATGTTTAAACACTGAGTTCTGCTCAAAACAACAGAACTCTGAATGCTGTTGTTAAAGTGCAGACTGAAAAAAACAGAGTGACAAGAAGAAAACTACTTTTTGGAATAAAGAAAGCCGCTAGGCCTTGCTACTTTGAAAAATCCTGTGGCCATGAAAGGAACTGAAAAGGAGTGGGAGTTACACAAAAGAAGCCCAAAAAATAGGTGTTTCTCTGCTGATACAGAACCACCATCCTGCTTAATCAGCAGTGCCCAAGCCCTGTTAATCAGATTAGCCAGAATGTGCCATTCTAAACAAATCTGAGGCTGGAAGAAAAAAAAAACACAGGCTGTTCACATCTCAAAACATGTAATAGCAAATTCTGTCTAGTAAGAGAAGAAAAAAAAAAACCCAAACAAAAAGAAACATAGAAAATTCTCAAAACATGGTATAATAAAACACTGAACTTACCTAAAGTTTGTCTTTCGTTCTCCATGTCATTGCTTAGGTTATCTTCTGAGACATTATCACTGATATCACTTACATATGAGTCATCATCCGATACCTGAGTGTGGTGTGGGGAAATAAGCAAGATACATCACTCATTAAAATAACTGTTCTCTTAGTGGAGACATGCTTCATTTTTGTGGCCCCACAGCTAAGAAGGCTTTCCTCATATAAAAAGGCAAGGTTTTTATGGAGTCAGAGAGAGGTGACAAAACGAGCTATTAAGTTTCAGTATGCATGACATCAGCCCCAAGGTACCTACAGGTATCGCAAGGACGGGTATAAATATATATTTCTATGATACAATTTCTTAAGCACCTGTATAATGACTCAAGGCAGACAATATACACAGTATCTATATACTAGCTACCTAACTGCCATTTCCTCAATGTGTGTGTAAGACTTCTCCATAATAATTGTTACATTTCACAGAGACAATGACAACAAATAAATACACGCAGCGTAATAATTTCTAAATGTTTTGACAATTTTAATTTTCTGGCAGTCATCTGATGTGCGAGATGACTCAGAAAGACTGCATGTCAAGTATCAGGTAAGAAACTACATCATAATGATTTCAATCTTAATGCTCAGACCTCATTTTCTGAAGAGCTAGCAGACAGTAGGACTTCCTGTGCATCAAAAAATTCTGTGAGGGAGTCAGCTATAGACAGTCTGCTTTCATTGGAGACCTGGTGAACCAGACCTCTGCTTTCTTCTCTTGAATTTTCCTGTTTGAAAGAAACAAAAAGTTCTGAGATGAGAAGTACCACAAATAGCATTCATGCATGCAATACCACAGTCCCATAACTTGAAGGGCTGTAAAACACTGGGAGAAGATTGCACATGCTCCTCTCCTATTTAGTGAAAGGTAGCATGTATTTCAAAGAGGGATTTAAAACCAAAAGTAAAGCAGAGCAAAGAGAAGAAGAAAAAAGAAGGGGAAAAAAAAAAAAGCAATGCATATTCAGTGAATCAGTTATGGCACTGCATGTACTTTTTCCTCAAAAAAAAAAAAAAGCGCTTTGATATTTGCATGATTTAGCCAGATATACACAAGTGTATCATCAAAAAGCCCCCAAAAGAGCAAAACTCCCATCTCTTTATATTACATCCTAGATTCACATTCCCTTCTCATCTTAGCAAACAAATTAGTCTTTTCCCCCCAAGCCTTGTTTAATGCAAAGCCTGTGGTGCAGTGGCATACAAAATTCAGAGGGGCAAAGTTGCTTTCTATATAATAGCAATGCTTTCTAGCTCTCTTTCTTCACTAGGTATTTTTCTATGCTGTGCTTTGGGAAGCTTTCTTTCATATCCACACCTGAGATAGGTCCGTGTTAACCAAAACCAACATATTATTGAAGCCACATAAGTGATACTGCTTTTGCTGCTGCAGGCACATTTGACTGCCATGGAGATCTCCGTAACTCCTCCCACGGAAGCTCTACAGATCGTTGGCATATGCAGAGTTCCAAAAGGTGGCCTAGCAAAGGTGGGGTGACCAGTGAGACTTGCTTCATTCTGTGGATGCAGTAAAAAAGTTGGAGAACATTGTGCACTATTGTTTTCTCTTACAACTCCACCAATGCTAAGGAAAAGGGCTAGCTCACCCAAAGGAGGGTATTAGCTGCTCTCAAGCTTTTCTGTGTGAGATGCTTTAGTAACTTGTAACCATGACTGCCCTATCATGATTTTGCAGGAATTGTAGTGTTTTACTTTCAGAATACCATAATGAATAATCCGACAAGCCTATAATCAAACTGACATATCTTCTTTCAAAGCTTTTCTGCTGGTAGATTTTACTACAGTATGGAAAGTTATTCAGTATGTGCCGATAATGGTGACATGGTAACAAACCAAACTGTTATCATACAAAAGACTTTTTTTTTAAAAAAGTAAAAATAGTTCTGACACAGCAGCAAGAAAAGAGGAAGCCTCAACATTGTCTCTTCTGTGGGAAGGCAGTTACACTAGCCTACAAGTAAAAGAAAAATCTTACGCACATGAGCATTGCTACTGGGATTCTTTTGAATACTATTTTGAATCTGAGAAGGCAAGTGAGCAGGAAGGGCTCATAAAAGAACAGCAGGTTTTTATATTTATCACATGAGAGTTTCAGGTTGTCGTCTTTCACGTTCCCGCTCTGGCATGATAAACTACAACATTAACTGCCCAATAGACAAACTAAACTTTTACCTTATGCAAAGGCTTGAGATACCGCTTCAATTTTGACATGTCTATCATAGCACCTGATGCAACATTTAGAGCCAAGTTTTGTGCAGTGGCCCTGTCTTCCTCACAGCAGCACAGACCTCGGACAAACCTAAAACAAAACCCCTCCAGTATAAAAGATTTCATTCTTAAGTTCCATCCCAAACCACGCCAGAAGGAATTTCTGAGTGAAACCTCTAAAGGACCTGTTGAAAGCTCTTTTTGTCATGTGCGCATGTGTGTGTATATAGTGCATAGGACAAGTTTCAGAAATAATCCATCGTCATTGCAAGGACCACTGAATATGAAAATAAAGACCTAAAATTAAAAAACCATGCATTAATGCTTGTCTGGATAGCAGTCTAAGTGTCTCATGGGATTAAAAGCAAAAGGCATTAGAATGATCAACTACTTTAAAGAAAAAAAAAAAAAACAGCTAAATATGACCAAAACACAGCTCTACTAAAACAGACCTAAACCAGAAGTGAACAGACAGAATGACTACACCGTTAATAAAAATAAAAGGAAATAATAAGTTACACAAAACGCCAGCATTACATCCACTCAAGTTCTAATGAAAGATTTATACTACAAGGACAGCAGAAGTTTCTGTATGAATTGAAACTTAGAAAAATCTATCAGAAGTAACACAGTTCTTGCTTCCCTCACTAGCACCATTAACACCTATATCCTATGACCTATAAATACACCATAGTCACATGCATTCTGCAGCAAGCCAAAAAAATGAACATCAGTATGTCTCAAAATGGCTAACTGGACATGTAGAAGACTCCCTGGCTTCAAAGAAAGCGAAATGGCTGAACGGGCTCTTGTATGTCTCAATGCTTTGATCCTTTCATGGAAATGTCTGACAGTTGTTCTAAACCTTACACGAGCCACACTGGTAGCCAGCGTTCCGAGCCAACAGTATTTTGACAGGCAACAGAAAGAACTACAGAACTTTAAAGTTAACAAGGGAATACGGGGGAGAGAAACAGTAGCATGAGGGCAACAAGGCGGGAGCTCTGTTCATGCTGAACGGGAAGCGGGCAGGAGGCAAGGGAGACCACCAGGAACCAGTAGCAAAAAAGCAATGGAAGTATGCTCAGGAAAACTGCTCACAAGGAAAGTCTTTGAACACAACACATCATCAGAAATTACTCATAACCACGAAAGCAGACTCGTTTTACTAACACAACACACCATAGGGAATACATGAAGAACAAGACAAGATGCAGCTATACAGCACTGTAGATGTAGGGGCTTGAGGAACAGACATCACTGAAGGAGGAAGTCCATACCCACCTTCACCAAATCTGGACTTGATTTTGCATTAGATGCTGAATCAAGGATCATAGATTCGGCATGTATTCTGCGTAACCGGTCTTTAAGATCTGTGTTTTGTGCTATTGCCTGGAATATTTAACAAAAATATTGGGGATATGAAGTTCTCTCAACTATCTTGAACGTGGCTTTATTGTGTAAAAAGGGGTGAAGAGTATTTAAAGTGCAGTATAAAACACCACTATCACGTGATTTTTTTACTGGTTCAGCAAATCATTTATTATAAATGCTTCAAACCTTGTTCATTATCTCTCAAGTTAAAACTATTTTTGTTCAGTGTGAGGGAAAAGACACAGAAATGGAGAAAAAAGGCCAGAAATGACAAGGATATTTCAAGTTACCAGGTTTTGCAAGCTGATTTAATCAGTTATAAATAAATTTTCTGCATCTTTTTTCTTTTCAAGCTCCCTTCTTTCACACCTATCTCCAACCTAGCCTCTCTCAACATTAATTCTTACTCTTGCCACATCCAAAAACATTTGATTTTCCCATCGCCTGGTATACTGACAGTTCCCTTTGCCTTCCACTGATAGAGAAATAAGCCTTAAATTCAGACAGGTACAGGTATAATTTGTGTCCTATCAGCTTATAATGGCAATGATCAGAATAAAAAGCCTCTGCTGCAAACTCATGTTCGTTACATGTTATTTATTCATGCTGGGCACTTCTGATGGACAGATGTCAGTTAGAGTAGACTTGTAGGAAGAGAATGCAACCCTGCCTGCAATGAAAATATCTCTGAAAAGAAAGATTGGGTTACTAATTTTGGAACAATACTGAAGACTTACCGCCCATTTTAGTGATCTGAATCAATACTAGGATGTGGAGAACCCTGCTGTTTACACATCTGCTTTGTCCTACAAATGCTTCTGATTTTGAGAGCAATTTTTGTTGGAAATAGTCTTGAGGGCAGGAAAGACAGTAAGCTCAAACTGATGATAAAGGGGAGAATATAACTTCTGACTTTACATATGTGTGGTCTGAATTCACCACACAGGCATACAGCACTTCTGAGTCAAGCGTTCAAGTGGTCAGCATTGTGCTATCCCCATAACATCAAATAAGTGCAAAAAAGAATTTACACAGCTTTCCTGTAATAGCATTTTCCAATTTTCATTGTTTGCTACAAAGTGTTTTCTTCTTTCTATTGTCTTATTGTCTTACAAAATAAAAATATTGTACTTTTCCCCATTCTATATTTGCTTATCATAGACTGTGTGTAGGTCAAGGATACTACCTTAATGAGGGAGAAGGAGAGGCAGAGATGCTAATTTTGTAGTGTTTTATCCACTTTAAATCTGTTCACTTTTCTACCCCTGCCAGGCTGATGAGATCAAAATGGACTTATGTTTGATAGCTTTCAACCTCTGAGGCTGATTTTTTGTTCCTCATGTACAGAAAACAAACTGAAATGAACAACAACAAACATTAAATAAAAATCATCAACACAGGACTCTTGCAAGGAAGTCTGAGACATAGGTCAAGTTTATCGTATCTGTGTTTCCACATGCCGTCAAAGGAAGCTTATTCCTTTGTCCTACAGGATCTCTGCTGTACAGGGTGAGAAAATTTCTGTTGGCATCATGGCTTTACAGATCTACAGGCTAAGAATAGCTCTCACATGTGTAAACCTCTGCTGAAACTGCCAACGTTCACAGATGACTTCTGAATGGGCTACAAAAGGCTGTTTAAGTATCAGATAAGACCTAAAAGCACGACGTTCAAAAAACATTTAGAGGATGAAGATGGACAACAGAATTTCATTGCTCAGAAAAAAAAAAAATCACGCTGAGTGTCCACTGTGTTCAGAAATCTTAAAATGGATTTTTTGATATAAAATGGTAGGTAAATAACACTGGGAAAACAAAAGTCACCTATTCAAATGTCAAAAGTGGAACATCTGAAAACCAAAACCAAAGAAGTGCAAGTGAACGAGTATAGTTATTATGCAACAGGATTGGGCTTTCTCTAAATACTATGAAGACATCACAGCCTCTAAAGGCATGTTATACACTTAAAAAACTATAACCTTATGCAGCTTTTGTAAAGCAAAGGGAAGTTTTCATACTGAAATAATTCTCAGATTATCTATATCACATTTATCAATGCCAGAGAGTCTCCCCTGCCTCTGATTAGGAATTTGCAAACACTGACATTTTAAGACCATGGTAATAATGGCCCCACTCATTGCTCTGAAATCAGATCACTGTTTGGTTGACACTTTCAAGCATGACTAATCTGAAAGTTCTGGTCTCAACCAATTACAAAAAGCACACCAACCAAAACCCCCACCTTTTTTAAAAGCACAATCCTTTCTCATTTAGAACTCTGCCCTAACACCTCCATTGCTGCTTTTAGACGACTAACAGATAATTAAGGTTGGAACTCAATATAAACAAGTTGTACTTGAATTTGCTTTGCAGTGTTTTGGTGCAGCACAGTGAAGCTCTAATGCAGTAGAAGGGACAGCTGAGTGCTTTCAGCCACTCTCACCTTTATTTTATGCCAAGTCATACAGTGAATACTTGAGTGCTGTTTAGGAAAAGAAAAGGAAAAGGAAACCCGCAACCTACCAGAACCAAGTGATTAAACACTGTATGTTTCAAGACACAGTAGACGTCGTCACAGAGCAGCCCTCTGATTCTTAACATCAAATGATACAGATTATACTATATACCTAAATCAATCTACCAAACTTCAGTGATTTCACAATACCTTTAACGTTTAGGAAAGAGTCTTTGAAAAACACCATATATAATAACTTACTATGATTCAATACTGCAAATTCTAGCACAGAACAGACACTAAAGAAACCAAAATTAACTACTATAAGATTTTAAAGTAGTATCTGATTACAAAAAAGCTTGCTGAACTTCAGCATGTCACTTACAGATGTTAAGGCATTCTTCAAGCCCACTATTTGTGCAGATGGAGATGAGGATGCATCATGCTCCAGCATCTGCTTCAGCTTTTCTCTCTCTGTAGATATGGTGCTGAAAGCTGACCTCAAGGTGAAGTAAACTAGAACCATTTCATAAAAAGTGACAGTTAAAAACAGCTACCAATTGCATACATACCAATTACGTAAAAGTTCAAAGAAACATCATTTATGGTGACGGAAACAAGAATTTAGGTTGAGAGATCCAGGGTGGGTTACTAAAAACAAGTAATATTAATCAAGGTTATAGGGTAGATTTTTTAGTAGGAGAAATGTTTACAGTGAATGCTACTGTGTTGACTATATTAGCCACAGTCAAAATTACTCTGATTATTTGTGACAGATGGCAACAAAGCTAACTAACCACATCTGCTCTTCACTTGCTTTTGTTCCCCAATTAGCTTGAATCTTCAGATGGTCATGACTCTATTCCACATTCCTTTAAGAATTCCAGTGGGGAAGAAGAAAAGAGGGAAGAAAAAAATGAAATAGAAAAAAAAAAAAATCCAAAAAACGGCTATAGGGTTAGTAGTTCCCCACAAGCAAGTCAACTGTGCTGTTGAGTTTTGTTATCTCTTTCCGGGATAAAGAAATTTCAGCTTGTTAGATGATTTAGTGACTCAAAATCAAAGGGTCAGATCCTAAACGTTGTGCATCTTATGCTGCCACTTCTACTCCTTCCTGAGCCAGTATCACCAGCCTGAAACATTTAAATCAGACAACAGATCATGCAATTTTAAAATCACTAGATTTTTAAAGGGGAAATGCACTTTTCTTATTTTTTTACTTTTCAGACATTTAATCTTTTCTTTAACCACAAGGAGTAAAAATTTATTTGAGTGATATTTATTTATGTAGGATTTCAACATTCATCTAACTGGAGAATTAGAGGATTTCTGAGGGCCTAATAAAGCCTTGTAATACAGCCATGAGAACTGCCAATGCAAAAATGTATACATTTACAGGGAAATGGAGATACAAAACCTGAGCATGGATGCATGGAAAGGGCAAAGAACAAGAAATCTCTGATACCTCTTTCTTCTAATAACCCACTCCAAGTTATTCAGAGTAACCATCATCACTTCATCGGCTATTTGTTGTAATCTAATTTACTCTTCTAAGAAAATATTCTTCAGGTATATTTCAACACTGCAAACCATTACCAAAGCTAATTTTCATACTTTAACCTATTTGAAGAAATCTTTATCAGTATCACAGGGGGTGGGGAGGAAGATGTATCCACCATGATCTATTTTGTTAGCCTTTTGTATGCGGATGACATGACCAGAATCTTTGGTGACCTTAAATGTCATTTAATAAGTTGTACTCCAAGTTAAATTTTCAAGAACTATTACATACTAAAGGACTAATGTTGCATTTTATTTAATTTGTATCAAAAGCTAAAGCAATAGTTTTCTTCACTACCCTTTTTTGGAAGTGGTGTGGTATAAAGCAACTTTGGAAAAAAATTCTTTGTACTCTTAATAAAACGATACTGTATTAAATAGTACAAAATCAATTGTCCCCTCAAATGCATGGGTCAATCTAACCAAAATTTCCAACATGGACATTTCAGGTAAGATGATCCCGAGTAGGTGATTTCTTTGCTCTGCTTAATAGCAACTTTTCCAACTGCGTCCCACCCCCACTTCTTTTCTCTTTTGGGAAGCGTACATCTGTTTTGACTATAATTGACTTTATAAAGTTTACTACTTATATACCTTTCTTACATAATGGAATCAAGACACATCAGCACCAGAGGGGAAAAACAAGCGAAGAATGCTTATTGATAACATCAACCATTATCTCGTGCAAAAGGGGACAAAGCCAGTACTTCCAAAAGTCTTTCAGATATAAATGCTTAAGTGCCTCCTCACCAAGATCATTTAAACAATAAAAATGTTTCTGGTGCGAGGGTGATAGAGCAAAGCACTGCTAATGAAAAATGATTTTGAAAGAAGAGACATTTCTCGTCAAGCTGCCCCTCTGGCTGCTTTACATGATTTTACTCTTCTGTATTCACTAAAAATAGGTTACTACCATAGCAACCCTTGCATCACCAACAAATGTTAACTCTGAAATACAGCGAAGCACACCGAATGTACAAACATATATGTGCTCATAGACACACATATGCATGCAAACACAAAAGAGTATAATCTGCTGTTGTGTTTATAGCAAATTATTTTAGGATTTTTACCTTTTGTAAAAAAAATACAATCTAGATTTTGAGCACATAAAACAAAGGACAGTCCTTTATTAAATATAAAAAAAATATTAAAATATGATGATTAAGCCAGTTTTTTTGAATGACTCAAGATCTCAACATTTGCAATTCCTCAAGGAAATTAAAGCAAGGGAGGGCATTTTCTGCTTTTTCTAAACATTAAACAGGAAGCATTCTCAGAAGTCACATCATTATTTAAATTGTGATGATATAAAATCACATACGAAAGACAATTTAATTACCTTTGTGTGCAATGTGAAATAAGTCCTCCTGCATTTTAGTAAATTCTGATGGTGTTTCAGAGCCATCGGAGTAATTTTTCTCCTCTACAAAATCTATTGTAGATAAGTTTGGATTGGAAGCATGCAGTCTCATAGGGGCAGAAAATACTGAAGGCACCTGTAAGGAGAACAGCCATTTGTGATGTTTTTACAAACTGTAAAGAAAATTTTGTTTTATTGTACCCACCTGGGTTACATGTTGAAGACACCAAAAATGGAAAAACTACTGTCAGTTACCAATAGGCTTGGAATGGATGACACCTGGCAAATGAAACCATAGATATAACTTTGCCCAAGATAACATAACTGGAGATTTGGCAAAACTCCAAGAAACAAGCCCACTGAGAACTGCAGCATATGCTATACTGTTTTTCCCCACTTATAAATATCTAATGGCCTCTGGATGCAAATGTGTACAGAACTATCTGGAGGATTTGCAAAAATCTGTACTGATAAAAAACAACACAGCACCACAACCCCTCAAATTGGAAGCAGATTGAAAACCTGGGTAAAACCCATGGCCGGTCTCCTGAAGGTAACAGCACCGATCCTATTGCAGCTATCAATGACAACACATTTGTGTTTTGTCTGATATATTACTACTTAAAATCAGCTAGCACAGGATACTACTTGGAAAGGATTCATATTTCCTAAATTGGTCACACTAAGAAGTGATCAATAACTACGATCTGGAGAAAGACAGGCACTGAAAGGACTGGTTACCTGTAACATTCCTTTAGCCTCTTTCCCAACAACTCTGGATCGCCACCTCCTGTGTGTTCTCTTTTCCTTCTTTGGGCTTTCAAAAGGTCCAACCTTTTAACAACACACAAACCAAAAATAATACAGATTGCCATAAAACTAACAGAGCTAAGAAAAAATACCTTGATCCTTTAGGATTTGGGGTTGTTTTTTGGAATTGCAAGGGAAAACGTTTTTGGTTTTGTTTTTTAAACAAACCTGCATAGCATTTATAGCAGGCGCTGAATATGTCCTGTGAAGAACATCCATGCTCTGTAACAGCTGGTTCATTTCCAGTAAATATGTGTGACAGTTGGAGAGGTCTGTTTTGAACAAGAGAATATTTTCAGTTGCCATAAAGTAACAGACACACTGAAAGTTTTTTTCTTTGTAGGTTAGTCTTATTTTGATTGTAACTAGCTTAAGTTATTCATTGACTAAAAGCACGTTATTAGATGACTGGATAAAAAGCTTCTATCCTTCTATCTTAAAGTTCAAATTCAAAATATTGAAATGCATCTATATAGTGTGTATAATGATAATGTTTTATCCTAGTTGGTTGCAGAAAAATGAGAATAATGTGATAATTACTGAAGATTGGGACTAGTCAGAGCTCCTCATGGTGAGGGTAACAGTGCCATAGGCATCAAGACTGAATTGTACATTCAGAGCTAGCGATGAGGCTTTTCTATATTAGAGCTGAAGTTCACTTGTATGTAGAACTTTACCAAATGAGTATTACACAGACACTACCAACGTGAGGAAGATCTTCATGCTCTTAGGAAAGCATGAAAGCAGAAGATGACTTTGAAGTACGAAGACTTAGTGCTTTATAAATGACTAGCTTTTGGATGCTTCCCTTTTTTGAATACCCAGCTTAAGAAAGTTCAAATCTTGCTACTGAAGGTGATGTTTGTATATAAAAGCAAATGTACTGAAATACATCAGTTCCTTGAAGAAGTCAAGAAAGACTAGGGGAAATATTAGGCTATTTTCAACTTCCTTCAAATATCATTACCTCTTGAGCATTTTTCCATGTCTTCAGAAGACTGTAGCCAAGATGAAATCCTGGACTCATTACTCGAAAAGGAAAATGACAAGTTACCTCCAGCTGACGAATTCTGTTTGGTCAAACTCCCTGCCTGTTCCAAAGAAGAAGTTAATTATTAACAATCAATATTTTAATGTTGTCTGCACAAATTTTGACAACCAACAATTGAGGTTCATGATCAGGGACAAGGACTGAAGGCATCAATAACATGGAGGAAAAAAGTGCATGAACTAAATAAACTAGGTGTACGGTCATTGAGCATAATGTCAGGATATCTAACATAACTGCTGTCCACAAGCAGTAGAAATACTAAAGGAACCATAAAAATTTGTGAAAACTAAATTTTGAAGAAGGGCAAAGTTCTGCATACATTAAGTCAACTTAATACAATTAAAGCACCATATCTGAACAGGACCAAAGTCAGGCATTCTGTTTCTTCTCCATGCTTCCCAAAGAAGCCCCAGAAGTAAGTTAAATGTAACATGCACATATTTCTTAAAGCTATTTTTCAGTGAAGAAAGCAAGATCTACTAGATGCTATTTAAAAATGTTACTCAAGGTTGTATGACTTCAGCACGGATTTGGCTTGACAGGCCTTAATACATGTGTGACCATACACCTCATCTGGGTGTATGACATCATACGACGTCTCTGTCACCATTTTCAAGCTAATCTCATTTTGAGCAGTGCCCACGATCAGATGCTTCAGGAGATGCTGGAAATTCTGTGTAAGAGCTAATTGAGCACTACAATTAAATAGTTTCCAATAGGAAGAAATCTATACCCAATTATTACCAGTTGATTGTGGCCTATAATGCTGTTTCCTTTTCTAACATAACAACAAATAATAGCCATTCAAATGCCTAATTATTTTTAAACCTTTCATCTTTAATAATACCTATGTCAGGAAGCTGCACAAATTAAATGCTTTGTCAACATCTTGTTTAAAATCAGTTTTAAAATGTTTCATCCTAAGTGCCATTACATGACCAGTTTATCAGTTATTAGAAAAGCTGACTTATTCGTTTGGCTCTTCTCTGAAGCATACACTTTACAAACTTTGTTCTCTCTTGCTCACCTTATATCAAAACTTAGGTAGTACTAGTTTTAAATCTATTCGTAGGAAACATTGTCTACATCTCAGTCAGTTGTAGTCTTCTTAGTTAGTCTTTTTAAATTTACAATATAAGCTCCAACTTGACTTGCAGAGTAAAATAAAATACACTACGCATGTGATGTCATTCAGTACTGCATCAGCTTATACAGTCAGTATACAATAGTAGTAAGCATGAATAAGCACGCTTATTTTTAAATTAAATAAATCAACATAGTGTAGCTGTCTTATTCCTACATAAAGTGTACGAACTTTAGTAATCTATATATGTATATCCCAATAATAATCTCAGAACCTTTAAAAGCACAAGTAAACTGAATTTAAAGATGAGTAATTGTATTGGCATTTTGTGAACAAATCCCACATTTATCTCTTCAGAACTCTATCTCATATAAACAACTTTTCCAGAACTCATATACATGAGGGGCATGTGCAGGAGGGAAGAAGTAGGCATTGCCAAGAAACAGGCAAGAGAGAGTTTGTGTAGCTCCAGTTGGCGTAACTTTGCTTTCGGTCAGCACAGCTAAGGTTTAGAATCCAACCATTCCACATAAACATATGTAGATAGGTACACTTCCCTCCTAACAACAACAAAAAAACAGATGTGAAAACCAATCAAGTGTTTCTAAAAGCAAATAAAACGCAATGCAAAGTTTGCTCAATATATTTTTCTCAAAACAACTTACACTGCTGGATTGATATCAACTAACATCAAACTAGGACTGGTGTAAATTGGCAAACTTCCACTTAGCTTCAGTAGAGCTAAGGTGATTAACTACAGCTTAAGAACTATCCCCTTCTATTTTTCACATGAAAATAAGTAGGGCTTCTTTGCAGTGCAAATCTGGATTAATAAATTAGAAGTGAATTAAAGTCTTTCACGCCAAAGAAGAATTGGTTAGTTTCCTGACAGTGAGCACAGAATGTAGATATGCTGGTCATATTATTTTTTTTTTTTTTTTTTGAGAGCACAGGCATGGGTATGGGCATGGGTATATCATGGGCTCTGCAACGTTCCACTTTTGCCCTCAATATTCTTCTTCCCTTCTATCCCCGCTGTCTTTTGGGAGAAAAGAACTAAACGGCCCCAGGAGGTTTGCCATTTCCTTGCAGACCCAGCCTCAGAAGAGCAGGCTGTCGGAGCCACAGAGGTGCTGGCACCGCAGAAAGCATGCAGACAGCTCTGCAGAACAGCCCTGTTACTGCGGGGTGAGTTACTGTTCTTTCAGCTGTCCTTTCACACAGATCCTCTCCCTCTCAACCGCTAGCAAAAAGCTGTTCAGGCACAGGTTTATGTTGTGTAAAACTTATACTCAGTTACAGGATAGTCCTACCAAAGTGCTGAACTGCAGGTATTGGGAAACAAGCCCACTCAGATCATACGGCAATATAGCCAGGGAAAAGAAAACCCTAATTATGAGGATAACAGGTGATTGCTGCTTAGGAGACACTCTGGAGTTGAGAGAAGCGGAGAGCCATTTCAGTTTTAGTAAGTAACACAGTATTGCTAAAAAAGGCATTATTCTCAAAAGAGATCACTGGTTCTAAACTGGAGCAGAAGAGCTTCTTTGGGTGAATGTCAGCCAGTCAATGTGCAGACTGCTAAAGGCACAGAGGTTGTGTTCAGGCACAGAACATAATCACCCTTCTGCAAGACTGCATCGAAGAGGTCAGTTATGGTGCCGGATTGAGCATTTGTCAGGTCATTTGTGAAACCAACAGTCACAGATTTTACCTAAAGAGAAGCACATTGCTGACTGGACCTTTCCAGACCCCATACCCACCTGCAGCATGGTCCCTGGATTGACCTGAATTATGCTTCTACCTCAGTTAAAAAAATAAATACTGGCCACAGCTGATGGCTCTTAGATAATTCCTATATACTCCTCAGGTAAGCACAGTCAGATTCATTAGTGTAAAAGGGGAGAGGTTTTATTAGCAAAAGGAGAAATGAAAAAATGCTAAACAGAAAAAACCACCCTACCTGAGTGCTCTTCTGTGACTCAGACTAATATTCACCAGCACATATCAGACAAATACGTCTCAAAAATTATGAGGATTCTAACTCAATATGAAGTTTTAAAAATCATCATGAAAATATAATTTACTGCATTAAAATAATGGGACAATACTATAAAATTTAACAGCATCATAGAGAAAATTGCTTGGGAGTAAATCAATAAATATCATTTTCCTCTTGACATTTTAGATCATAACTTAAACCTCACCACAAACTTCCACTATGCTCTTTACTTAATAAAAACAAATCAGACTAATTTAATCCCTGATGAAAGCTCATTATTTATAAATCATAAGTATTACCTTTCTACCCAGAGCAGAATCACAGAAACCAGGGACAGAGTCTGCAGTAGCAGACACAGGGAAGAAAAGATTATTGACGTCATGAGGAAACATGGAGATTTCATTCTGACGGTACATTCTGTGATGACGAAGTTTTGCTACCCATTCATCAAACAGCTCCTGGGATTTCACCTACAAAAAAATTCAGGGTTTATAAAGCTGACTTTCAAAATCACTAACCCAGAAACTAAAGTATTTTGTGCTCATTAGACAGCTAGCCTGGCTGACCTTTATTGGAAAAGTTTTTCTAAAATTGGAAAGTTTTTCTAATGATACTCCTACTAAAATGCATACTGTACCAGCTTAAGCATGACAGAAAATTAATCACAGGATAAAGTCAAGAAAAAGAGAAACTTCAATCACTACAGTTATGACTTCCAATGCAGAAGACAATACTTAGCAACTTCTAGATGGAAAAAAACCCCAATATAAATAATAAAAAAAATATTTGTTATTTCTTAATTGCCATTTTTAAGTTTTACCTAACCACAAATAGAAATTTGATTTTGGTGATGTATTTTAAAACAATTTATTCAAAAAGAATAGATAAATCTACACATTTGACTGAAGAAAATACTTCCTATAGATAAGACAATGAGCAAGATACAACTACTGAAAATAAAAGCACTTGTGCAACAAGTGCATACCCTTTGCTGAAAAAAGTGCTGGGTGAAGAGTGCTGCTAAACATGAGCCATGTTCAAAGTTTCTATTTAGTCCAGCAATACTGACTCGGGAACAGTACAATAAGGCCTCTCAAGGTATAAAGTGTAACACAATATGCCGACGCTAAGAAGTAAGTTATTAGTATAACTAACAGACCTCCTACTATGAAAAAAAATAAGGTCTCCACCATACACAGCTGATGTTATTTTGGGAGCAAGGTTATAACAATCTTGAAGACCTACCTTCAGATGGTATATCTGCTCTTCTGTATCCAAATCTATACATTTCGTTGATTTCTTTACAGACATGACAGAAAGTCCAACATCAATGCAGCCGTGTATCTTCCCTCTCTCTATCTGCAAAAAAAAAGTAAAAAGAATACAATCACTCGAGAATAAAGCAAAAGGATAGATATTACCTGCTGAAACCATCATTTTCCCCCCTTCAACCTTACTGTTTAGAACCACTGAAACTCTATTTCCCATTGCCAACAGTATGGAATTATTGTTATTTTGGGTAAAATAGTGTTGTTACCTTATAATAGCCTTAAAGGGTTTCAGATCACTTACATCAGCTTGGCATTTAGAATACTTCAAAATCCCTCTGTCCAAAAAGAAGTATCTCTGTAACCGGAAAGACAGAGAATTAAAAACAAACAAACCCAAACCAAACAAACAAAACACCACAAAAAAACCCTAACAAAAACGCACCACCCCCCCATTTATTTGGAGAACACTTTCTCTGCTCTTAAGTAATCTATTTTCCACAAAACTACACCAAGCAAGGCCCACTCACATGACATCAGGCTTTCAGCTACACATTCCTTTCCTACCTTGTGCCAGCCCTTCAAAGGCCATTTCCTCTTTTTCAGCAAGCAGCCCTCCTGCTTCTGTGGCTCCTGGGTACAATTCATTGCTCCCCGGAGTCCTTCTACAATTTCCCAGCTGTCCTGCTTGAATAGAAAATCCAAATCTAGATCTTATTTCTTCCAAAGAACAGATTAAGAGAGATTCAAGAGGTTGAAGGCTATAAGTAAAAAAACCCCAAATTATATTGAAATCTAACCTTAGATCCATCTTTACACTTTGCTATGCATCTTCCAAGAGACAAGATTCTTTTTTATTTTAATAGAAACAATACAAATGAAACAAAACACTATTTTATAACACGTTTCTTCATTGAATGTACTGTCCTTACCAGAATTTTATATGTATATTTTTCGGTACATACATACACACAGTGTATAGCCACAGCCTAGTCACAGTTTAGCATAAAAAACCTTCTACCATCACAGGCAGAAACAGCCTATGTTAAAAGGATCTGTTTTATAGCTTATGAAGCAGAAATAAAAGACATCAAAAATGAAGACAATTTCTGTAAAACCATTTTGCCCATATTCAGTAACTCAAGATTTTGTGTTTGGTGTTAATTGCAGCCTTCCTAAAGTAAAATTAATAAAATAAAATAAAATAAAATAAAATAAAATAAAATAAAATAGCCAGGGAAGTGACTCAAGTCACTATGAGGAGCAAGACATAAAGGGAGAGTACAAGAAAAATAAAACCCATCATTCATCAGATACACCTCTAATTAAAAGAGGATCTCTCTTTTTTTGCCATCAGGAACTCTTAAATGAAAGACCCTGCAGCAGCATAACAGAGAAAAGAATAAAACTCATAGTATTTTTACAGTTCTGATTTATGGAACAACTGCTAATGACAATGTAACATGAGCTTCAAGATTTCTGATCAGCGATCTCGTGAATTATTTACTGCCAGCTACGACAGGATTTGACAGATCAAGAATTATGAACAACTGATGGGAAATGGCATGTGCTAGTACCATCCTGATATATTTGAAAAAGACAAAGAGTACTTTAATGTATAGAATTTAATGACAAGAAAGGACCAGTATGAAACACTTTGGGAAAAACAGAATTATACCAGGTAGGTAAGTATTTATGGTCCTCCCTATAAGATACATAGGGAAGTATTCCCCAAAAGATCTTTACTGATTAAAAAAATCTTGAAAACAAAATCAAAACAAAAATCATCAAGAGTGCTAGTTGTGCTGTATTGGGTTTGTGTGGCAAGGTTTTGGTAGCAGGGGGGCTACAGGGGAAGCTAGAAGCTGCCAGAAGCTTCTCCTTTGTCCAATAGAGCCAATGCCAGCCAGCTCCAAGACAGACCCACCGCTGGCCAAAGCTGAGCCCATCAGCTATGGAGGTAGCGGCTCTGGGAGAACATATTTAAGAAGGGGAAAAAAAGAAACCCAAACCCAAACGGGGCAGCAGCAGCCAAAGAGAGGAGTGAGAATATGTGAGAGGAACAACTCTGCAGACACCAAGGCCAGTGAAGAAGGAGCGGGAGGAGGTGCTCCAGGCGCCGGAGCAGAGATTCCCCTGCAGCCCACAGTGAAGACCACGGTGAGGCAGGCTGTCCCTTTGCAGCCCATGGAGGTCCACACTTGGAACTGACCCCAACCACATTCCCCGCCGCCCTGCAGGGGGAGGAGGTAGAGAAATCAGGAGTGAAGCCGAGCCTGGGAAGAAGGGAAAGGGGGGAGGGAAAGTGTTTTTAAGATTTGAGTTTATTTCTCATTATCCTACTCTACTTTGATTGGTAATAAATTAAATTAATTTTTCCCCAAGTCCAGTCTGTTTTGCCTGTGACAGTAATTCTGACTGATCTCCCTGCCCTTATCTCAATTTATGAGCCTTTTGCTATGTTTTCTCTCCCCTCTCCAGTTGAGGAGGGGGAGCGATAGAGTGGCTTTGGTGGGCAGCTGGCGTCGAGCCAGGGTCAACCCACCACATATGCTCATTTATCCATCTCCAGAATCCTTAAAATTTGCCCCTAGAAACCTAGAAAAAAAAAATTACATCAGGTAATACGCTCATTACTTGAGTAACAAGGCATAATGGCAAACCACCTTCACAAAGACATTCACTAAACAACTTAAGGAATGTGATCTCTTATTCCACTACGTTACGGGTGGCATTCCACTATTTTGTTATTATTTTCCTTGCATTGGACTTCACGGAACAAACATGGAAACCTGTGCTGCTTCCCTAGCTTGAGTTCCCTCTGCCAGCACTACACAACAGGCTGCAAGCAGTAGAAATGTGGGGCTGAGCAGCTCCAGTCATTCAACACCCTACAGACCACCCAATGATGTTTTACTACCCGAAGGTAAAACTGCAGTTTTCCTAACCGAAATTGTTATCAGGACACACATTTTGTGCCCCTACAGATTTGGGTTTTACCCTTGTCAGTTTTGTAACAAGTAGTTTCTTTCCTCCTTCCAGTTTGAGAGATATTTTGACAGCTACTTATACTATTATTTCTAACCAGTTATCATGTAATCATATTTTCCCTATTGAAAACCAGAAGTTACACTCCTTATTCTTTAATTTTATTTTTACTGCTTTAGGACTCACTTAAAATTCTCAATAATCATGAACCCTTTCCTGCTTTGGGGTAAATTCCTATGATACCAGATCAGGGAATAGAGAAGTTACTCATGGGTATCATGAGTGGGCGGGCTGAAGGCAGAGCAGAAGGCCTCCTGGGCTGTCTCCAACACATCACTCTAACACCAGCTGCAGCAGCGCAGGCTCTGCTGCTAGAGACCAACAGCACCGGATTTTCACAGGGTGAAGCTGGCAGAGGATGAAGCAGAGAGCCAGCCTGTGCCCATGCAAGGACAATTAGCTATGGCTTGCAGTTTGACAGCTACTCAAGTACAAAGGCAGCTCTAAGCCTCCACAATTGAGGACCTTTTTCCCCTCTTTTTTTTCCCACAGAACATTCCAGTTGAATGATCCGTCATTATGCTCCATGATGACAGAGGGCAGCCTCTTTAAATATCATCAAATATAGTGTAATGCTACAATTTACATTAACTAAATAACCGCTGAACTTACTGCTGCTTAAATGTCCACCTGTGGATAAAATCTCATCTCAGAAAATATGATCTACTAAACAAGCCAACATAAAAAATAACCACGACATTAACTGATTTCAAATTGGGGACTTGGAAAAAGGTAAACAGTTAAAAAAGTGAGAAACCTGACAGAACTAGTGAAAAATAATTCTAATTAAGAACTACCAGGAGTACCTGCAATGTGAAAAAAATTCTGTGTTTATGTTTTTGTTTCTTTCTTCTTGAAATTAGCCAGAAGAGCTTAAATCTATTTTGCCTGATCACTAAGCAAGCTATTTCCCTTGCCTTAGCTGAAATATATTAAACTTCAGTACACAAACACATACCTTTTCCACTGAGAATTAACCTGATAACAGTCAAGACCAGTGAACAGCAGTTCTTTTTAAATATTCCAGTGTTAAACCTAACGAAGCAACTTCCTTGAACTTTGGATCAAGTTCTCACAGACTTTGGTCAAGCTTAAACACAGTACATGGTTGATAGAGTGGTCTGCTTGCAGGAGACAAGCACAAATTTGAGCATGTGAAAAACACAAGAATCCAGATTCACCTTTCTACAAGCTTAGAAAGAAAGGGACTGCTGAAGCGAGACAGACTTAATACTGCATTTGGCATATGAGGTGAAGGGAAGGTAGCAGCTGAGAAATAGTTCAGTCAATTGAACCCATCCGGAATATACATAGTGTTAAATAGTTTTGGTAAAACGTTCAAATACAGAGCACATCCTGGCCTGCATTACAACTCCAATTTTGTCTGGACCTCTCTTGCAGTCCAGGCACAACCTGTCTCCCATGCTCCTGTAGGAGAGCCACATTTCTCACTGTTGTTCTGGTCACTGAGGTGGCCAAGAAAGTGCCTCAAAAGTGTGAAAATAGGAAGAAAAGCTGAAGTAGAAACATTTCTTCCCGTTGAGCAGGCCCAATGGCCTGACAAAGCTCAGGTGAAGGCAAGTCTCTTACATTTCTGCCCTGGGAACTTCACACTTCAATTGCAAACTTTACGTAAAGGTAGCTTTAGTTAGATTAGAAATGGATCCTTTTAAAAGCACAAGACTATTTACTCAACAAAGTTACCCAAGAAAAGGCAAGGAATAACTCAGAAAATTATCCAGAACTGCTGGATATATGCATGGTACAACACTGCAGTGACAGCATCTGGTCCTCTTCTACATACATCTGTCCAGAAGAGTCCAACCTTTCCCACTTGAATGCCCAAACTTCCACATTTTTCAAAATACTGCTGCTGTGACTCATTTTGGATCCATTCACTCTTGACCCAGACCCTACAGGATCTTGATGGGTATTTTGTTTGCGAGAGATCTGACATCTCATTTAATGAGGGAAAAGCGTCTGTTGGCTATTGCTGAGAGCAGCTGCAGAAGCAAAAGAAAACTGCTTACTCTCCAAAATGAAGGCAAATGAATCAAGCTGGTCGGTTATCAACTGTTCTCATCTGTCTGAAATAGCAGAGGAGCAAATTGGAGATACAGGATTTCCTGAAAGCTACTGGAAGCATTCAGATTATGTTCCATTTTGCTGATTCTTATCCCATGACAGGGAACTAAAAGATATACCCCAAAACTATAGCGTTAAATTTAAAAAAAAAAACAAAAACCAAACAAACCAACAGCCGTCCCTGTCCCGTCCCGTCCCGTCCCCCCAAAAAAAACCCCAAACAAACAACAACAAACCTCCCAGCTGAATGGCACCAACAATTCTAGCAGAAGCCTGATGCCCAGATTGGTAGTGTCTTAAGGTTATGACACTACGAAAGATCTTATATCATTATGAGCCAATGTCTGCACAAAATGATCAACAATGCATTTGCTGCCCAGGCACAAATTTCACTTGAGGCTTAGTGAGGAACATAGTCTTTACTCTTCTCAGATCCGAAGGTGCTCATTTCAGATCAGCACTGGAAATTCACCCTGTAATTGCGACTTGGCTTATACCTGCTCTGTGGCTGAGAAAACAAAAGCATGCACTTTGATCTTCAGAGACAAGTCCATCATTAGATAACTGCAGTAATTTTCTTTATTTAATAAAATAAAATCCTTCTCATTTTCTGTAATATTCTGTACCATACAGCTCCTCAAGGCAAATTATTTCAGGAGAAAGAATGAAGTAATGAGTTCAAACAGCTCTCAGACTGATGCTTGCACTTGCAGCTCCCTGAACAAAACAGATGACAGTGCCAGACTTTCTTCCAGTGTAAAACGCAGCCAGTTGTACCGAATATTTTAAAGTGCCAAAAATAGAAACCCGCTTTGTGGAGGATAAGGGTTGGCATCAGCTGCAACTAAAGCATTTGTTACGGTTCATAAAATTGGCAGAAATGATTTAATTTTCTTTTTAAGAACATGAGGTTTTTTTAAGCAGCTCTTCTGACATAAAGCTTTTCCCTACTGAATCTATTTTAAAAGTTAGTTAACATATTAGACTTAAAAATAACTACTACAATATATCTTCTTTTGATCACAGGTCAATTTAAATTTAAAGAGGTTCAACACCAGTTTTCCTTCCTCAGAAAACACAGTTTCAGTTGTGGCTTTGTGGAAGACATCCCTTTCCATGACTGAAGGAGAGAGGCAGAGAAAAGCAGAGGTGAGATGTGGCAGTAGACTCCAACCTGCTATGGGGCTTCAAGCCAAAGGTGAACTTAGTGGAATAGGATGAACTGTTAGCGTCTTCAGTTCACACTGCAAATGTGTTGCATTTGGCAGAAAAAGGGCACCAAGTTTAGCAAAGGAAGGAGCGGGCCTCTCCAAGTCCTGTAGCCCTCCTTAAGTCAACTCTTTTTTTGGCAGAGCAGTCCATCTTCTGCATCACAGGACACTACTTATGCTCTACACCACCGACACATGTTGCTCTGTGGGGAGCAATAACTAAATTTTAATGGACACAGCAGCCTTGTACCACGGGCATTCCATACCCCCATCTCAGGTAGCTTCTTATTATTCGGTGCTAGTGTGTACCTGCAACAGAGTCTGTGCCTAGGAAATCAGAGAGACTCAAAACTCAGATCCCACTGTTTTGAGGAAAAACAAATGAACTGTCCAGGTCCTTTCCCCTGTGCATTTCAGAATGTCTTTCTATTTAATCAGGTTAAAAGAACTGCTGTGTCAGATCAGCAGTACAGAGAAAAGCACCTGTCAGGCAGATCTGTCATTAACCTACAATGAACGTAGCTCTGAAGGTCCTCGAGAGAGGCGCAAGTGTTTGAAGGGAGGAATAAGGAGCTTTCCATGGAGCTGAATGGTGGAAAGGATATCAAAATAATAGCACTTCACTCCCCAATTTGCACAGCATATGGCAAAATTATTTAAACTTACATGATACTATTAATAAAAAAGTATCAATAGCAGTGTTGCATTTTACTTTTCTACCAGGGCATTGCCAAAAAGAAAAAAAAATAAAAAATCTGTGCTACCTTTTAGATTAGGGGATTTTTAACAGATTCATAGAACTTTAGATTGCTGCTGTCTTCTTAATAGGACACCTAAAGTGCTGTCATTTAAACTAACATGCAGATGAAAAGGGCAAACGGTGGCATCACTCATCCCCAGCCTTGTAAGGCCTAAGTAGGTGGATATTAGTAGGGACGGACTGCAAAGCTCCAATTTACCAATACAAGAGGCTGAGTAAGAAAAGAAGCAACTAATGACATAAACAAAACTACTTGATCAGGTGTGACAAAAAATACTCTGTGGGAAGGGGGGAGCAAAAGGACAGGACACAAGAAAGGTCTCAACATCCTCACTGACCAACAATCTAGATTTTATATATATGCTATACTAAGTGGTTTACACCACTAAAGAAAGGGTCTATCTAGCAAGGTAAAGATCTTTATAATCTGCAAGACCAGAGCCTACTAGGGAACAGGAACAAGAAGAAGATATCCATTCCTCACCCAAAGCACTGCTGTGTCCAGGCCAGTGAGTCTTGCAGAGTACTGTTGCTGTCAGACCTAACAGTCCCTTTTTCCACATGCAGCACAGAAGACTATATCTAACAAAACATAATGCTTCCATCACAAAATATAATTAACAAATACATTAAAAAAAACATAAGGGAAAATGACCCACAGGAGTTATTTTCAAGTAAATACAACGAGTGCATACTGTACAGGATATTTAAATCTTCCGTTTTCCCCGGTAAAACAGTTTGTTCTGTAAACTACAAGACAACTTCAGTGTGAGAAAACACCATGTGAAAAACACCAAAAAACACCAGGAAATTAAGGAAGGAACAGCAATACACAGCCATGCACATAAACACTGACAATGCCAAAAGAAACTGTAATTTAGATTTTTTTATTTTTTATTTCTAAATTTTGCTACTTTGAAGGAACACCTCTAGATCACTTCAGCAGATGCAAAGTCATAGGATAAGCTAGAAAGTTATTGCACTTGATAAAGAAGGGAATAGAGAAATTATTAAAGTATTCTTTACAAATATTAGAAATTCCTATTTAAAAATAAAAATATCAGAAGACCAGTGGAACCTTAAAAAGCATATGTAATTTTTGAAAAACATGTCTGTAAATTTTCAGACTGTATAGAAAAAGCAAACAAGCAGAGCTTCTAGCTCTGCTTAGTGATCATTTCCAAGCATATAACAAGTCACACAAACTTCCCAACTTCTTTGGGCTTGCCTCTATCATTACTCCCTGAAAACATGGACAGTCAACCGACCTGTGTAAGTTCCCCACGTGCAAAAGTATACTGTTACTTACTTGGTATTGCAATGATTGACCATGAAAAGATTAATACTGAAACACTGATCAAAGAGGAGATACTTAACACAATGCCCCAGATTATCACAAAGAAATATCAACTGTATCACCCTTCAATATTACATTGGGAAACAACCTACTTTATACCTCCATTTAGCTTGACCTGATAGGTGTATGAGGCACTCTACCATCTGCCTGAATATAATGAATCAGCACAGCTGTACCAGGAACACAAATAAAACACCAAGTTCCGTCTCTCACCTTTGTTAGGTACACTTTCCATTTTTGTACAACGATCAAAGACTAAAACATTGGGGATTGACAAGATGGCATTAAACCTCACTGAATTATTCCTTTTCTCCAAAGAGAGAAGGTGAGAACAAAATGAGTAAGAAATGGGACCTGCTGATAATAGTATCAAAAGCCTGAGCTACCCAACAGATTTGATCATGTTAAATGGCAGTACGCAAGGTTTTTGCAGAAATTGCTTCTGCATAAGTATGCCTGCTTACACTGGCTGTGTAACACACCAGTGGATTTAGTCATGCTCATGTAAATCTCATTATTTAAATACTACATGATAACATTTGATAGACATGAACTGTTGAAACAGACAAGACCAAATTTTTTAAATTACCCTTTTTAAAGGATATAAAAAATGTTGCAGAAAAACAAAAAAGGCATCCTAAACCAAGGATTTCTTTGCTCAGCATACTAGAAACACACAGCATCTCTTACAAGCACAGCACTTTAAAAGGCATAAATTGTTCAGAGATTTGTCTGCTTCGCCAGTTGTATGTACAGGGCCAGAAGTCTCAGAAAAGCAGGTGCTATTTCAAAACACAGCTGAGGTCTCCAAAGCTTTTGGCGGATTGGGATGCTAAATTCCAACTAAAATTTGAACCTGAGGCAGCTTCAAGAGCTCCACTAAGCCAGCATTTGTACAAACAAAAGTTTATGTTGAGCAGTCTATGTCGATATGGACCTGTTGGAGCGGGTGCAGAGGAGGGCCACGAAGATGATCAGAGGGCTGGAGCACCTCTCCTATGAGGAGAGGCTGAGAGAGTTGGGGTGGTTCAGCCTGGAGAAGAAAAGGCTCCGAGGAGACCTTACAGCAGCCTTCCAGTACCTAAAGGGGAAACTATAGGAAAGATGGGGAGGGACTTTTTATCAGGGAGTGTAGTGACAGGAAGAGGGATAACGGTTTTAAACTGAAAGAGGATAGATTTAGATTAGATATTAGGAAGAAATTCTTTACTCTGAGGGTGGTGAGGCACTGGAACAAGTTGCCCAGGGAAGTTGTGGATGCCCCATCCCTGGAGGTGTTCAAGGCCAGGCTGGATGGGCCTTTGAGCAACCTGGTCTAATGGGAGATGTCCCTGCCCATGGCAGGGGGGTTGGAACTAGGTGATCTTTAAGGTCTCTTCCAACTCTAACCATTCTATGATTCTATGGTATTGCTCATGATTTTGCAAGCATGGATGGAGTGTGTTTAAGTTTAAATCTCAGTGTGCCTGCAAGTCAATGTTTCTTCCCCACAAAGAAAAGCTGCCTTCAGCGGTCTCACTTGTCAGGTGCAAACACTCATAGATACGTCTTTTGAAACTGTAAGGTTTAAAGAATAGCATAATTTCTGCAGAAAACAAAGCATCCTTTGCATTAGGCAGCCAGATGCATCATGTTACAGAAATACTTATTTTCATAATTACAGTCCTACAGCAACAACCAGCACACACAGGCATTCACAGGCACTTTTTCATTGTCAAAGAGGCCCTATGTCAAGTTTCAGAAAAGTGTGTTCTCTTTCACACATGTACACACACCTTCCCCTAGAAATTTGAAATAAGCAGAGCAGTTACAAAATATTCTACCACAGAAGTGGTATCTTACAGAGAAGATTTGGGATTTCAGGATCAAACCACTAAGACCAAGCTGCTATGGCAGCAATGTTTCACTATAAAGACACCATACATACAATTTGATAGAAATTCAAAGTCACTGTTAGCATTCCAGTTTTACAAGTGCCCGCTATTCAATTATGTGTGTTTACTGCATTTGACTCAAAACAAGATGCTGCTAACAACAAAAAAAGAAAAGAAAGTAAGGACAACACAGAAGTGATGAAATAAACAAGTAACAGGAAAACAGAGTTTGAGAGATTCACCGATATTCAAGAGCAAAAGTAACAGCCAATCTTCGTAATGCTTTCAGTTTGGTTAAAAAAGTTTGCATTACCTGTCGACTTCCCTGCTTGGAGGAGCAGCTACTAGTACTTCTTGAAGGAGACAACATTTTCTGGGATACACCAAAGCTTTTTTCTTCACTCATGATCCAGTATCATTTGTTTCACATAAGCTCACTTAGAACACCATTACAAGATAATTTAGAAAATGTGTTGGAAGACTCCTGAGAGAAATGCAGAACTCATCCTTTACCCAAATGCAGTCCAGAGGCATGATCTGCATCCCATGGAAATTCCTGAAAGGAAAAAGAGAAACAAAAAGCCAAGTTATCAGATGCTGTCTCTTACTGCCATCCTGTAGCATGAATTATAATAAAGCCTTTGGTAATAGAAGCTGACTGCGTTCCTGTACATTATTAGAAATTAATTCAACAATCACTTTAAGACAAATTTTCAAGTCTCAAACAGGAACAATATGAATTCTGGATGCTACACGCATGTTTTAATTTTCACTATTTATTCAGACGATAAAGTACAGTATCAAGCATCATTTTAAAGATTTAAATTCATTTAAAAAATAATAAAGACACACATAGAGTATAATAAATATCTATATAAAATGGACCAAAACAGCCTGAAAATAAGAAGAAAGCATCTAATAAAATGTCTCACAAAAAGGATGGTGAGTAATCAAAAAAATACTTCTTTTTCCCAGTTCTTTAATAATTTTAAAAAGTAAGCATGGTTTCGGGTTGTAAGGGAAAAAAATAAGTGTCTCTCTATAAAAGAGCAATACATAAAACTAGTGAGCATGCAAACTCAGCTGCATAGAGCTGTGCATAACCTTAAGTAGGCCTTTGTGAGAAAGTTGTAACTATTGTCACATCAGTTGTCTCAGTCAGTGACTGGAAGAATAATGAACAGTCTGTTTAATAACAGTGCTGTTTGCAGCATATGCAAATAAAAGCCATGCCAGAAACTCCCCATAATGGATTTCCAGTGTGGAAGAGTTGTCATGGTAACCGCATTTTTTTTTTAAAACCAAACAGAGGACATAACAAAAGGGTGATACCTTCCAAAACTTGGGGTTGTTGGAGAAGCTTTATAGGGGTGTATCACTTCAGATTTTATTGTCTCGGGTAAGGAATTTGCACATTAGGAACAGGGCAGGAACCACCACTAAAGAAGGTAAGGAAGTTTCCACAAAGAGAGGAGAAATATCATTGGTGAAACAAGGAGGCACTACTTCACAATGCCCTTGCTTGCACTGCCAGAACAGTCCTGAACTGAAATCACTGGTTATTGAAATTTGCCATTAATTTTTTTCTTGAAGAAGCTTAAAAACCTCTTCAGCAGCATTTTCAGATCCCTAGTAAAACACTTTGTGTATTTTAAAAATTCATTTCCCTTAAAAAAAACCCAAACCAAAAACCACAGACAAACAAATGAACAACAACAAAAAAACCACAAAAAATACCCAAACAAAAAACAAATAAAACCAGGTGGTATATTTAAGATGTTTAAGATGAAGAGACACTATTCTGTAGAAAACCTCTCTCCCTACTGCCGTAAGTCTGAACTATCCAATTTCCAAACGGAGACCTTCTCGTACCTACAGTGCCTCTGTGGCAATACAGCGTGCTGTAACTTTTCAACCAACGTGCCCTCTTTTCACCTGAAACAAGGTCTCTTTCTTCACAGCGTTTACCTTACCTAGTTACTCAATTACGCCCAGAGCAAATTTGTGCTCAGCACCAATAATGAAACAGCCCCAGTCTCCAA